CTTTTATTTGACTACCCACATCTCCCGCTTTGCCCAATTATTGCGACCACGTTGCTTTGTTTCCTCCTCGTCATCACCCCTTGCAGCAGCCCCTGATCGAATGAACCTCGTCGTCCCACTTCAATCTAGAAACTAAACTAACACATCCATGTCGATGCTGTTTCACTGTCTTATAATAATATAATCACTACTGATCCGCAGGTATATATTGATCATTTTCGGCCGTCATAAATTTATGTGGCCTGTCCTGTGTACAGTCTCATCAGATTCATAAAAACTAGTGGTTTGCTTGGTTAATTTGAGGGAAACTTGATCTAATTTTATTATATAAAAAATAATGCGTGATGTTTGCTGGAGCATTATTCTCATTTATCAGTACTGCATATAATTTTCGTTAGAAGAAATTATTTTATTTATTTGCAACGCCAGGGCGCCCTGCGTATTTCATCTTGAACTATGCTGCCATAGTAGAGGCCAAGCTAAGGTTTGATTGGCAATTGTTTGCAACTAGATCGAGTTCATATTACTTCCGGTTTTATTCATAAGGTAAATAAAAAAGTTTTTTAAATCTTATTTATAAGTCACAATATTAAATTTTTATCATAAATTTTTCCTTTTTGAAAAGAAAAAGTATATTGTTAAAATATGTATATTTAATTAATAGAAACAAAGTTAAAAACTTATTAAATTTTTAAATAGGATTAATAAATTTTAATTTTTTTAATCCTAGTAAAACATGATAGGAGGGATTTATAAATAGGAAAACAGGAGCATTGACTAGAACTTTAGAACTGAATGGAATACACAGAGCTTTTCATTTAATTAGAACCTAAAGATGGGGTGCTGTTGATACAGGGCGTGCGGTTGGGTAAGTTGGCGAATAATTTGGAAATCAAAAATTCAAAATCAGCTTCTCGGTATTGGATTGGGAGGCCCACTTTTGGTATGATGTTAAAACACATGGCAGAGACTTGGGCTCTTCCAGGAATGGGGAAGATGGACTGATTATTGAAGAGCCCAAAGAGGGGCCCAATTATTGTTCAGAAGGGGTCGCTTGAATTTTAAAGCGAAACCACGTAGAATCTTATATCTCTACTTTGTAGAGTGATGGTGGTGTCCATGCCGGCGTCGGGACCCCACAAAAATAAAAAGATAAGGCATAATAGAATGATTCGTCTCTTCATTAATAAGCTCACGAAATCAGAATGGGTCCGGCCCCTCTCCACAGCACCACGAATGAGACTCTTTCTCTCCATCACCTTAGGCAGCCCACGGGGCAAAACCCAAATTGAGTTGCTTCAACTTTACATGACTCGTTGAATATAGGATCATATGCCTAAAACACACGCGCCACGTTTGAAGAATCCCCTGTGATATGTTGGATGAGGGGAATATTTTGCACCCCCTGCATATTTACACATAAAAGAAGAATAATCAATCATTAATTGAATTGAATTGTGAAACCGTATCAGCTGAGTGCAGCATTTGAGGGAGAGGGCAGGGATGGAGATGAAGGCAGAGAATTGAAGCAGCCGAAATTGGTTGACCATTGGACCGAAGAAGTTTCCACCTTCAAGGGCGTGACAACTCCACAAGCACAAGCCCGTGTCTCCAGGCACTTCAAAAACATTGACCACCAATCATGTCAAACCCGCCGCCCAAAGTCCAAACCCTTCCGTCCTCAATTCCTCATACAACAAACATGTTTTCTGCTTTAAACTCCAATCAAATGTACACAGGCCACACAGATGCGGTTTCACTGCTCCTAATGCTTCCTCAAATGAAAACTCAAAATAGGGATATGTTTTTTCCTATAAAAGATTACCTAAAGAATTATAGTTACTGAAATCATCTCTCTCTAAATTTTAAAGACATTTTCAAAGGGTTATCAAACTAAAGAGCATCATTTAGTGAAAGAAAATATATTTTTTTAAAAACTCTACGTATTAAAAGGATATTTTATTTGATGGAGAGTTATTATAAGTCACTTCTAATGACCACCCTAAATTAAAAATTAACTAAAGAGGAAGAGGAAAGAAGGGAGAAGCATAATAAGTTTGCCTTTGGCGTTTGCAAGCTCCAAAAATGTTCCTAAACTTTCAAAAATTTAAGCTCTCACAAAAAGAATCACATGCCTTTTCATTTTCTCCCAAGACTCTGTTATTTCAAACTGTCGAGCATTTGATTACACTAGAATATCAACCACGTGCCATAGTGCATGCAGTTTGGGCCATTGCAGATGATAAAAAGGGGGGAAGCCTTAGTTTTCTCTCCATTTCAAGGCCTGAGCAGCCCAATTTTGCTCTAAACTTGATCCAAAAGCTGTAATCACAACTCAATTAGTCTATTAACCCTCTCTAACCATCTTTAACTCAATTGCACTTAATTTATTTAATTATCCTTATCAATCTAATTAATCATAGAGTTAAATTTTAGGATTTTACACCTCACTATAAACTTTGGGTTTATAGCAAGGAAGGAAAATGTCTTCGAATCTTGTTACTTAAAATTTTGATATGGTCTAAATTAATGGCACCAATTTCAATTGATTGTGATAATCAATATATTATGTCAAGGGCTTATAGCCAAGTTGTTAATAGAAAGTCATGACACGTTACATTACAATATAGCTATATGAAATATTTGATTATTATAGTGTATATAAGTTATATAAGATCATAACTAAATCTTACATATTCTTCAATGAAAGGGTTGACGAGGGATATGGCTTTGAAAACATCAAGGGTGATGGAATTAAAGCTTTATAAATCTTGATCACTAATAGTGAAAACCCAACTCACACTTGATTGTCATCAAGTTTTAAGTTCAACGGTGAAAGCCACTATTAGAGTAATTGCAAGTACTTGACTTTTTATATATATTCCAAGGTTGAAAAGTACTTGGTGATTATGAGATTGAAAGAGAAAAAGGTTGAGATTTAACTCTTAATGACCTATAAGCATATATTTATTAGAGTACTGATCATGATAATGTTCTTGATGGAGTCTAACTATATGGGAGTAAAGTAGTGCCGCTTCTAAAGGTCTGAGGGCTTGATTTTGGAAACTCTAGATACAAGACCAAGTAAAAGTGTCAATTTAAGTATCATACAATGGTATGAGATTTTATGCACAAGTCATGCATACTTACTCAAATGGGATAATTGGTTCAAAGTTTTCTCTACATATTATTTCGGATGGGTGAGACCATGTTTTACTAAGTAAATATTCAAGTCTTTTAGATACCCTTACCAAAAACATGAGGTTGTTGAAATGGCAAGAGTTTGTAATCATTTTGGAAGGGGCGGGGGATTGTTGGAATATTGTTCAAAATGGAGAGATATCTTTTTGAAAAGTCATGTTTTTATAAAGTAAGAAGCCATGTCCTTATAAATTAAGGAATATTTTTATGAAAGGTTATGTAGAGAGTTATAATCCCTAAAATCATGTCTCTGAAATTATGAAGGCACCTTTAGAGGGTTATAAAATTAAAAAGCATTACTTGATAAAGGGAAATATATTTCAAGAAAACTCTACATATTAAAATGGTGTTTCTTTTTATGAAAAATTATTATAAATAATATTTGATTAATATTAATTACTAAACTATGTAGGTTCATGAATCAATATAGAGATGTTCATAAACAATATAAGGTTATGAATCAACATTGATTATAACTTTTTAAAAACATTTTATTACTTAAAATGCACCACTTTAATATTTATAAATATCTCACACCATCACTTATTTAGGACGTCTAAAAGAAATTTATTGATTGAAATTCATTATCTTTATTCTTTAAATATACTTGAGATAAAATTAAATTACCATTTTATAAAAACTATTGTCGCCTTGACTTAAGTTTTGATAATGCAAACCATATTCAAGTGTCTTCATTATATTTTGAAGGAAATTTGCCATCAATTTAGCTTGCACTCAAAGATTGGAATAGGTGGGAACAAATTGAGTCTAAACAAAAGTGTTGCCCACACTTTAAAGATGTCGTGTATAGCTTTTTATTTCTTTCATCTCTACTCTTTTTGTTCTTCATATAGCCATTCCCGCCAACACAATTTCCAGTTAACAAAGTTATATGAAAACCATACAAAGATGTCGTGTATAGCTTTTTATTTTTTTCATCTCTACTCTTTTTGTTCTTCATATAGCCATTCCCGCCAACACATTTTCCAGTTAACAAAGTTATATGAAAACCGTACAAAGAAGAGTTGGTGTGGTGTGTTCCCCTCCCCCCCCCCTCCAAACAGCATATTTTATTTATAGTGGAAGTGGTTGGCATAAATAAAAAATCATATATATTGTGATAAATTCTATCTCATTATGAGAGGAAGCTTACAAAACGCAGATGTCGTAATCCCGCAATTAATTTTTTAAAAAAGCTCAGTTGATGCTTCAAGACTTATGTTAAACGGCCCCAATATCCAGTGATCAGCGCGCAACGTTTTTCTCATGTCCATCTCTCCTCATCGCCCGTTTCCATCTTCTTTGAATTACCTTGTTGACCATTGCAGTGTCGGCATCTCGTCTGAACCGCCCATGCAGGACGAATTAATGAACGACTTATCAAGCATTCTTTGAACCCTCATCTTTGGTAAATTTCCCAGACTCTAATCATTTTCTTAATTTTAATCCTATTGCACCATCATTCTATTCTCCCGCTCTTTGCTGGACAAAATGAAAATGCAACGCACCTGCCGAAGATGACTCCGACTCTTTTATAAAAGTAAAAGGCGACCCCCAAAAAAATAAAAAATAAAAAAATTCCAAAGCTGCTAAAGTGACCGGGTCTTAGACAAAGTTGCGACTTTACATGCCCCCTAAATCTAATAATTGGATCCCATAACAAAGCCCAGGGGATAAGGGCAACCTTAGGATCGAAGGACTTGCATTGCCAAACACCCATGGTCCCCCATTCAGTTCCAAGCTTCCTTGAACTGACAAAACTTCATTATAAATTTCCAACACGATGACAAGTAAACGAGGACGACGTCGACATTATTAACAACCCCGGGTTGGATGGGTTCAATTACTGACGTTCGTTGGTCATCTTATTTAACGGCCACGATGGCTGTCAAAAAGATCCCATGCAAACCCGCCCACACTATGCTGCATGAACCTGTACGGTAATCTCTCTTCGGCCATTGCGACGATGTCACGCGCCTTCACAATTTGATGGGTTTAATTTAAGTACCTCGAAGAAATTGGCGCTGCGCACTACCCGTTCTTTTTCAGTTTTCTATCGTCCACAATCTTTACCTATTCTCGACAATGGGACAGTCGTCTTCCACCGCCGTTGCTTCATCGGAGCCGAATCCTTACAAAATTTCCGATGGCAAGAGATGTAATTTTCATTCCTGGCTTGCCAACGGGGAGGAGGGCTTCGATACGGATGCTGAACATGTTGAGAACTCAACAGGGGGGCGTGACTACACCGCTGATCTACCCGACGATTGCTTGGCAGGTATTTTCCATTTTCTTGGCTCCGCTGACCTGAAAAAATGCTCTCTCGTTTGCCGACGGTGGCTGCGCGTCGATGGCCAAAGCCGTCATCGACTTTCCCTCGATGCTCATGAAGAATTGCAAGATTTTGTTCCCTCCCTGTTTGATCGATTCAACTTTGTCACGAAACTTTCCCTGCGATGCGACCGCAGGTCCGCCAGCATAAGCGACGACGTTTTGATACTGATATCGCTTCGATGCAAGAACCTCAAGCGTCTCAAGCTCCATGGATGCCGGGAGATCTCCGAAATTGGAATGGCCGGCCTCACTCAGAATTGCAAGGCCTTGAAGAAGCTCTCGTGTGGATCTTGTATGTTTGGTACAAAAGGCATGAACACCGTTATCGATCATTGCGTGGCTCTTGAAGAGCTCTCCGTCAAGCGGCTTCGTGGGGTCCACGATAGCTCGGCCGTTATAGGTCCCGGTGCGGCGGCCTCCTCGTTGAAATCTATATGCTTAAAGGATATTGTTAATGGCCAAAGCTTCGCACCGCTAATAGTGGGCTCGAAAAAGCTTCGAAGATTGAAGTTGATTAGTTGTTTGGGTGATTGGGATAGTACTCTTGAAGCGGTAGGAGACTCAAACAGGGATTTGATTGAAGTTCATCTCGAGAAGATTCAGGTCAGCGATGTCGGTCTTTCAGGGATATCCAACTGTTTGAACTTGGAGACGCTACTCATTGTGAAAAATCCCGAGTGTTCGAATCTGGGGCTCTCTTGTGTTGCTGAGCGATGTAGGCTATTGAGAAAGCTTCACATTGATGGTTGGAGGACTAATAACATTGGCGATGAGGGTTTGATAGCTATAGCTAAACACTGCCCCAACCTGCAAGAACTTGTATTGATTTGCATTTATCCGGCAACTTTGAGTTTGACGGCAATAGCTTCCAACTGTAAAAATTTGGAAAGGTTGGCTCTTTGCGGAATCGGCAGCATTGGTGATGCAGAGATGGAAAGCATAGCTGCCAAGTGCTCTGCTCTTAAGAAACTATGCATTAAAGGATGTCCGATTACTAATGCAGGGATCGAAGCTCTTGCTCTGGGTTGTCCAAATTTGGTTAAAATTAAGGTTAAAAAGTGCAAAAAAGTCACCGGCGGGATTGTAGAGTGGCTGCGCGAACGGAGAGGTTCCTTGGCATTCAGTTTCGACGACATTGAGCCTAAAACGTTGGAGGGGAATGTAAGCGGTGGAGGAGCTCAGGAAAGTGAAATTGCGAGCCCATCAATGATCAGGGAAGAAACCGTGGCTGATGAAGCATCATCAAGTGGTGATAACAACCGGTTAACAATGTTGAGAACCAACTTTGGATTTTTGGCTGGGAGAAATATAGTACCCGTTGCCTTAAGAAGATGGATAAACGCTGATAACGTCTCTGATGGCAGCTTTTCATGATCGTTACGAGAGCGCCCATATACGATGTTGACATGTTCACACACTGTGAGGTGAGTCTTAGGTGCTGTGTCAATTGCTTGTTCATTGCAGTGTCGCCCCTTGAATTTTGTTTGCCTCTCAGCTGTTGCTGTGATATGGCAAAGCCAATGTTTTCTTTCTGTCGCCTCATTGCATCTTATCAATTACCTTCATAGACAATCCCTTTTCAATTTTTTATTCAAAATATCATTATCAACTATGAATATCAGTTTTTGTTTTACATTCTGGGGCAAAATATTTTATTAGCAGGGTGATTCCTTTATCAACGTTTTTATGAATTTGGGCTTAAATTCCGTTATGCATCATTTTGTTAGGACGTTTCTTTGCGTCGAGGAGTAGTGTGAACTTCGAAATTGCATGCTCAATGCGACGGACTTTTCTTATAGGCTGAAACATTATTGACTAAGATTAACCTCTGGAATCTCGATGGATAGAACGGTTCAGCTGTCAAGGCTTGAGTTGGTGTTTAAGCCTTCTCAACGCATTCTTTGCCTTGTTATTAGTTTTTTTAATGGGTTATTGGCACGGTTCGAGTATGATTATCAAAGTCTTCCACTAAATGTTTCCATTTGCATTTTTTTTTAGAAAAATTACACTGAATTTTAGGAGTGGGTCATGTTTTTAAATAATGTGAATTGTTTAGCTCTGAAAATTTTAATATAAATATATATATATATATATATATATATCAGTTGTGTGTACAATTGTTGATACCAATTTTGTAATATAAGCAAAAGATTAGAATAATCACCACAATTAACTTAGGCAGAGTGTCCTGACTTTGAAACATGTTGATTCAGATAGACTCGAGATCAATTTATTAAAAAGGAATAAAAGAACTATGCTGGATTAAAAGAAAGGATTGAAAATGATGCTTCATGCTGAGACCGGAAAGAAGAGGTTAGCCGAACAAAACAAGAAAAGGCGAAAAATGGGTTAACAGTTAACCGATCAGAAAGGCCCAAGCCCAAGATGTGGGAGGCAGTAAAAGACAAGGCCTCAATGCATGTTCCAGCTCGCATTTCTTGGCACCTGCACTGCTGCACGAGAGGCTGAAGACGTGTCCACAACATACGCACGATGGGGCCCGATGTCTTTTCCCTCCACAAAGACTGGAACTAGCAGGGAAATGACTTTCGAGTAGTAGTTATTGGTTAGTTTGTTAGTTTCTGTGCTGGCGTGCGTCTAAGGAAAGAGTAAAATTTAAATCTGGGGGCTTTTCAAACAAGTGTTGTCTTTTAGATTAAATGGCTGATGAGTCCTGTGTGCTTCAACTGCAACTCAAGCCAAGGAAACCCAACGAATTGCTGCAAAGGGAATTCAACATTCCAGATATGAGGCACGACCATCTGTTTTAATTAACCTGATCTCTCAATCCTATTTGTGTCTCTCTTTATTACTTGTTGCTTTAGCGCATTCAGTCACACACACACACACACACACACACACACACACAGAACTCTATGGCAGCAGATGGACAAACAACATGGATCTGGAATGATGCAAATAGAAAATGGAACTAATTGATAATTCCTTTTCAATTAATCCAAGGGAAATAACATTGAGTGGCATCACCTTGACTTTGTTTCCAAGAGCCGTTTTGACAATTGGAAACCTATATACAACAATGATGAGCCGAATAAGCATGACCAGATTGGTTTTTGGTAGACGCAGAAAAGCAAAATAACCCCAGACAGCACCAGGTAACTGAAACATCACTTCCTCTCAACAAAGTGATCATGAAGGCGTTCCAAGATTCAAGCGCTGCTGGTCTTCGCTCCAATGGTGGCATATGTTGAAAGAAGATTTGGGGACATTTTGGGATACATAACTGGATAAGAGGGCTGTATCGCGATGCCACACTTGCCAGTGTTGGTGCTTCTTACATTACGCTGAATCTTGATGTAACCATCCTCTCCCCAAGCTGCACCCCACGAGTTCCTCACCAACCAATAATCCTCTCCATTTTCAGTACCGTATCCTACAACAACCACTCCATGATCTAGATTTGTCCCACACTCACCAGTAAATACCCCCTGACAGACACACAACAAAATGTCAAATATTATTAAGCAAAACCTGACGATTTAATCGGGGCTGGGGTAACTATTGACTAAACGGAATTGTATGGTTGAAGCTTACAGATTGATAGAGTTGGAAAGCCCAGCCACCAGCTTCCACAGCAACGCTCACGGGCTGATGAGCCACAGCCTTCTTCAACGCATTCTCATTGTACGGTGGAACATCCTCGTACCCATCAATCTTCACTGCCTTGGCATTCTTCTGCAGTTAGAGCAATCAAACAGGTTGAGGGCATGTCCAAATCATAATATTTAACAATCAAAAGACTGGGAATCGGCACCTTGGTTGGATCGCATTGACCTTCAACGCCGGCGTAAGGATAATCATCCTCCGTGTTGATGCCACCATTTCCAATGATGAAGTCGAAGGCGTAGTCCATGAGACCACCGTCGCACCCGTTGTTGTATGCTCTGTCACAATCCACCAGTTCTTGTTCCGACAACGACACGAGCTTGCCGGTAACGATCTTATTTATGGCTTCTACAGCCGCGACCGTTGAGAATGCCCAACAACTTCCTGCAAGTCAAGGCCTAACCATGGTCACTGCCAAGGCCCTTTATCTGGCTTCCAATGTAAGCAGTTCTAACTGTTTTGGGCAGTAAAATATGGGGCCCTGCCTTGTATAATTATTTATTTGAACTTTAGTTCTTTTTTCATTTTGGCTTTTATTTTATTTTAAGTGATAAACTGTTAATATTGTTTAATTGAACTTAGGTGTATTAATTTTTTTAGAGTATACCAAACTATCTGCTGATAATTCATACCCAATGTTGTGTCTAGATTTAAAAAGCAAGCGCATATATATATATATATATATATATAAATAAAAGACTCTGCAACCTAAATTCAGAAAAGAAGCCCTCGTGCAGCCTTGATATGTGCAATTATGCTATATCATTGTTCATGACTTGTGAACCGTGCACAAGTTATAAACTTATTAGATACATAAAAGATAGACAGATCACGTCTGCATGGAGTTACTATTAGAATTGATATGATTCATGTTGTTAAGGATTTCTAAATGTTATCGTCCTTCACTCCTAGTTATATTATATTTTTTATGATCATTGATTTATAGTGGAGATTAGAGAAAGAGAGATAAGTCGTGATGTCTCGAGAGTGATGAGGAAATCTCAATGGATTCATATTAGCTAATGTTGTGATGGGCAGAAACAAAATTATGAGGAACAAAGAAAGGAAGGTTTACCGCAAGTTCCTTGATTTTTGACAGGATTAACGGCACCCTTTAACCTCCAATCCACATGGAGCGGCAATCTATCACGGGCGTTATAAGCATAGCGATGAGAGGGAGTGTTCTTAGCTTTCATGGCAATTTGCTTTGGATCAATCCTCGTTCCCAAATACATGGCACGGTATTCCTCATTCCTTAAATCTGCAAATCTATTCAGCCCGAGCCTGTACGTTGTGTTGTCCAGTGCATTGTGCGCTTCTACGAATCTCAAGTTCTCCTTAAATGCCTCGAACCTCCTGTCCTTCTCTCCTATCCCGTTGTACACTTTCTGGTTCTTCACCAGCCACTCCTCGTACATCGCCATCACTTCCTCCTCGCTCCTCCCTTCCGCAGGTTGCCCATGGCCGACGACTGGCACGTCACCCGAGGCCAGTACTGTTAAAGTGAGGCAAAGGAAGAGGAAGGAGAGAGGAGGCGTGGCAGCCATTATTGTTAAGGACACTGGCCAAGTTATTATGTGAAGAAAAGCAGTGAAGATGATGGGAGTTATATAGATGGTGGTGAAATGTTCAATCATTGAAAGCGGATCCACACCAAAAGGAGAAAAATAATAATATGAACTAGCGGTGAATAATAATGAGGAGAGAAGCAGAACTGGCAAAGCATGTGGGTGGGTATGGGTCGATGTTGGATGTAGCAGAAATCTAGATTTACAGGGACAAACCTCTCATGTTATCTTTTCCCAAGGAGTGAGGCCGTTTGGTGATTCGGATATGGGAGAGAGAAGCAATTTGGCCAAGTTTTCAGTGAAAGGAATCACTAATCAGATACTGCCACTTTTATAAATGGAAGATCGCAGTGGCTTCCCTGGTTTTTTCGAGAAGAGTGACCACACAAGTGTCAGTCCGAAAGAAACGAGAATTGAAGCCCTTGATGAAGGGAAATGAATGCTTTTTGCTATTTTTTTTTATCTAGTTTTTACAGTTTATCAAGAGATCACATGATGAATGGAGTCTGTGACTGTAGACAGAGACAGTTCATTGAGAATGATCGATGCTGGTGCAACCGGATTTGATCTTCCGAGGCCAAAAATAAGAGGATAGAGGAGGGTCGCTGGACTCCGATTGCATCTCATCTGACAGCCGCAACTAGCGAGTGTGCATTTCTAGTACTTCTCAAAGTATCTTTCCCTCCCCACCAAAATTTCTTGGTGCTTTTCAACATTCGTTGTTATACTATATTACTATTTGATATTTTCCCCTACCTCGTTTTTAAAATAAAATTCAGGATAGCTTCATTAAAGCTTCTTCATAAATGGACTTGGCGATTTTGTATTTGTAGACCTTCTCACTTTTGTCGACAAACTGATTCACCAAATGAAACAACGGGACTACTCCGCGTTCTATGAATGATCAAGCACATTTTACGATTTAAGTTCAATTTTTGGCCTAAAAAACCAAAACCAATTTAGAAATTTGAAATAATTTTCACGTGACTGAGAATTAACTTGGACGGAATAGATTATTTATGTTCAATAGATGATTCAAAATAAGTTCTTATTTTTATAGTAATATTTCATGTTTGGTTAGATAAACGTAATAGCAAAAGACCACTTTGCATGGGATAAAAATAAAAATAATATTCTTGTGCTTCTTAAAACAAATACGAAAATTGGGAAGAATGAATCGCGATGCAAAATAATGTAATGATAACTAAAGGAAACATGTAAACTTACATCCCATTTCAAGATCAGTAGGCATTTCCATTAAAAATCTGATGGAATCCGAATTCCTCAATTGGAAAGAATGAATCACTAGGAAAAATTGAATCAAAAAAGAATTGCTGCTAATCAAACACCATATGTGGAATAAGCTCTCACATTCCCATGCTATATACTCGAATGCCATGATCCAAACAGGGCATGTAGTTTATCAATTTCCTGGACAAGTATATCTGTTTAACACCCCCAGCTTAAGGTCGTACACCAATTTGGCACCCTGTTCGCTAGGTTTTGATTCTAAAAATTGTGACTGATTATATCTACCAACTTAAAAACCTTCGAATGGATATTTCCTTTTTAAAGAGAATAGAAACAAAATGCAAACAATAGAAATGTGGCCAGCTTCTCCATTTGGTCAAATCCATACAATAGTTGCCGATCGCCAGCAGACAGCAGTCTTGTATCCACAAGGCAGTGAAATTCTCAGATGCTCTTATTACCATCTTAGTTCTGTTCAGACTGTGTAGAGACTTGTGAACCGATCACTGTGGTTTCACTCTTTCTCTTTCGACTGCGCCTGGATCTGGATGATCGAGATTTTGTAGAATGCTTGGTTGGCCGCTCTTGAGTGCTAATTGACACCTTTTCATTTGATGGCAGCTCAGGAGGAGCATCTGGCCATGGAGTCCGTTTCGATGGAACAGTGATGTCTAAAGGAGGGTCGATTATCCATCTGCATTAATTTGCGTCAAATGTTCAGATGTCTAAAGACTATCATGTTTAAAGTTTTTAGAGGATATAAATCCACGTAATATTTGTTTTGACGGCAGGCTCTCAAGACATGATGCTTCAGGAACTGATAAAGTCCAGCATTTTTAATCTATCATCACCAAGTATTTCAACGATGACACCCATTTTCAAGGGAAACAGTATGTAGAGACAAATTTCAGAAGCAGAAACTAACCGTACAGCAAAAGTTGACAAAGCAAATAATAGATGCTGAGTAAGAGTAACTGCAGGATATGAACTAACGAGAGGCTATAAACATTTCTCAATTGAAGACCATAGCTTCAGAATTCAGACTCTTATTTAAAACAAGTTCCTTGGGACTTCGAGCGGAAATAATTGAAACCATTGTTCTTGCTTCATGATGCTATGTAGTTTCAATAAATTCTTTCCTTTGTACAGTCTTTCTTTCAAAAACAAAAATTCTTGTTGTTTCATTGCGCCTTTTACTCTTTTATCTATACAGCAGGATGATGCAACATTGCAAAAAAAATATAGTCTTGAAAACGGTAATTCTTAAATGTGAGCCAGGTCACTAGAGTAGACTCTTCATAAAGTTTGTGAAAGCAATGGCAATAAGATAAATCAGCTTAGAACAGTTTGGATTGTTAAACACCACCCCCCCCCCCCGGGGGAAGAATCCTGTGTGTTGTGTTGGGTGTGGGTTAGGGGGGTTGTTCGAGGTTCATTTTTTAACTCGCATGCGCTATGAAAATTACAATGAGTCAGAAGTTATTGTATACCACCAAAAAGGATTTTTCAAATATACAAAGCACGTTTTAAGCTAAGCACGTATGTCAACATAGGTAGCAACTCTATTCAAAATCAAGAGGAAAAGGCTCACCTGGGAGGGAATTTGCTGTCTGTCCGAGCTTCAGCGCGCAGCCACCAAAGCAAAACTTGGCGTCCACAGTTGCCAAGTGGTTCCACCACAGAGGTGTCCTTGAGCAAAGACAGTGGACTCTCAATGTCCTCATCAACTCCATCTAATGCATCAAGATTCCTAATCCACTCTGGTTTATCATCGGCATCCTTCCAGAGCAACCTGGAATTCAACACAAACCCAGACCATTCGAGTTTTTGGGGGAGCACAGGTGCTCGGTCATCAATGTAAACAGCACTTTTCCCAGCATATGGCAATGAATTGAAGGTGTGCCACCCAACCAATTTATTGCTAGAATTACAAGCAGGACCTTGCACGGGTATTGGGGAGGTTTCTTCTCCATCCTTTCTTTGAGGGAGGGATGTAGATTCATCTGTGCTGACAGAATGAACAAGTATTCCAACTGAAAGAGCACCGATCCATTTCACACTTTGGATTTCATCAAATAGCTCCATACTATGCATATTACTGTCATCCGCAAACATCACAACTCCATCCAACTTCTCTTTTCTCACAATTCTGCAGCGCAGATATGAAGATAAGCAAACCACAAAATTATAAAGAAGCTATTATTTACAAATCATATAAGGGGGCTAACCAAAAAAAATGAAGAGGGAAAAACAGTTATCATGTATTTCTATTATTTTCAGCAGACAAGAACATTTGTGTCTCCAATTGTGAGTACATACGTGGTTGCGTTTCCCTGATGACCAAACTGGAGTTAATTGGTAGCGCATAGTACAAGAAATTTACCTCAAAGCATGAAGCCGCATCCGGGCCTCCAATTTATGCCTTCCGTCCCATGAACTTGGCATCCGCTGATTATTGAACCCAACGTGGATGGTTCTGAGCCCGGACTTGGCAATAATTGAAGAGGTCTCATTGGTGACCCCTCCGGCCTCCACCACAATCCACACCAGGTCGTACGGCACCAGCATTAGCGAGTGCATCACCCCGGTCAAATGAAGAGCCTGAAACGTCCGTACATAAGTTGGGGTGACCGCAATCACAGTCTTAGGGTTCTTCACTCCAAACTGGAGCCTCTGCTCCCTTTGAACTCTGTTAATTATCTGGTGAGCCTTCATCACCTCCACGGGATCTGGATGCGGCCAAGGTCGGATTCGGATTCCATGCCGCCCAACGATGACCCTGCTGGTGGAGCCAGCAATGTTGGTTCTATTAGCAGGATTTTCAACGTTGGTGAAGGGATTGGAAGTTAGAGCAGATTGAAGATCGAGGGATCCAGTGAATTGAGTGGCCGTGCGGAACGGAACCATGTGGAGGTTGGTAGACGAAGTGGAGACGAGAAAGAAGAAGACAAGGCGAGAGAATCGGAAACCAAGAACCAGACTAATGAGACAACAGATGCCATGAAGGACGAGCCAGAAAATGGCAGCCGGAGATTTTATCGGGCCGTCGCCGGAGGAATCCAACTGGGACGATCCTCGGAAGCTGTTGGCCCGGCGGTTGAGATAGTTCTGCTGCAACGCCGAGAGCTTCATAATGCGGGAGTACCGAAGAGGCCTCCAAGTCAGAAAGGGTCAATCGAATACAACGGTGAACGGTGATGGAGAGGACGAGTAGGCGTTGAAGTTGGGGTTGTGATTTGCAAAGATGATCGCGAGAGAGAAAGAAAGTTATAAGACAACAAAAGCAGCAGGAGAAGGTGGAGATGGTGGAGGAGTCTAATCATGACATTTCTTTTGGTTCACGCGTCATTCGTCGTTCGGTTCATTTTTGTAAGATCTAAATTATCTGGATTACGCACGCAGCAATGATCTGGATTACTGTTAATTGAATTTACATCGAATTTAAAAGGTCGTACTTATTTCATTAAAATTTTTGGATAATCCAGAGTTGTGTAAATCCCCAATGAGTATGAATTAAGAAAGGAAAAATGATTGGCAAGTTAAAAGGAATTAATTAATTTAAATTAAATCTTAATTGTTAAATTTTAAAAATTTATAAGTTTTGTTTTCAATTTTTCAATTTTATTTTAATAAATTTAAATTTATATTTTAAATTTTAACAGAAAAATTTATTTATTCTTAACTATATTAAATTTTAAAAAATAAATTATAAATTCATCATAATAAAATTATAAAATTAAAAATAAAACTTATAAATTTCTAAAATTTAACACCAAACAGTTAATTTTAATTAATTAATTTCCTTACAACTTACATGTAATTCAAATCCTTCCGACAACTTCCGTTACACCCATAGTCAAGGGGACTCTGTCCCAGGAGGGTAAAGTCAAGGACACGAGGCAAGATGATACATAGCATTATTAGCAAATAAACCCCAAACAAAAAAAAAACAAAAAAAAAAAAGAGCGAATGATGCTTCCTCACCGCATAGTTCATAATTAAATTAAATCAATAAACAATATGATTCCCTCTCCAGTCCAAAAACGAAAATAGGATTCCTACGAATTTTGAGTTTAGAGGAATTGATATCTAATTTTTTTTTTTTTGGCCGATAATTGGTATCTGATCCATGACGAGATTCTCGGTTTCTTTAACTGTATTTTCGCGAGTAACTTTAACTGCAACCGACGACGTGGAGAAGAAAAGGGCGGCGTTGAGGAGATGGCTCAGCCAGTCACCGAATGAGACGAAGAGTCTAATTCCGTCAACGGACAAAGGGCAACCGTCAGTTCTTTTATTTTTCGTAAAATGTCGTCAGCATTTTTGTTATTTTCCTGTATTTTCTCGTCAAACAAACAAAATGTAAAACGTTGGCCCAAAACATGTTGTAAAAGGAGCGCGATAACTAATAGCTTCTAGAAAGAAACGAGATGTCGTCGGGCGAGCTGGGGTGAAGAAGCTCAAAGCTTTGAGAGGATTGTCAATTTAAATATCATCTGCATTCAATGATCGGAGAGGTAGGGAAACGTAAGGATGTCATCTGTATTTAGTTTACAAATCCGGGCATTGTCCTCTTTCCACTTGTATTTAGTGCACATGCATTAATTTGATGCCAATTTTGGACGATGATTGTCCTCCAATTGAATCGCGGGTGCCGCAATACATGGAATGGTTTGCTGTAAATAACAAGAGATGTTGGATACGGTACACCGGGAAAAATTCGAAAAGGAGGAACAAAGCAGAAATGTGATTGGGTCCAATAATTGCAGAGGAGTTTGGTAGAGAAGAGTGCGCCAGAGAATCGGGTTGGTGAGTTGCTTGAGTCGTTAGAAAGCCAGGCTCGAAATCGTCTGCCATGGAGGAGGGCGTGACGAATCCAGAGAGTTGCTGTTGGGAGGTTGAAATCTGTCAAATGAAGCGTCGCATCAGAGAAGGGTACTACTCGCTAGTCGCTACCTTGGGAACAAAGGAATGGTGGCGTGTGATCAAGTGCACGAGGATTTATAAATTCTAATCATGTATACATTGTTATTAGGTAGATGCTGTTGTTGACTCGCTTTGATTACTACATTCCACCATTCATGAATCATAACATTAACAACTCCGTCTGCTAATTTCTAGTTAACATCACACTGCATATTACGTAAGCTTGCTCGCTTCCATCGTCAGATGTCTAGCGCTTCCATTCTTGGTTCCACGTTTATGGGTTGGACAGCAATTATTAAAAAAAAAAAAGAAGGTGTAGTTGCATTTAGGTGCCGTGAGCCCACTTCAATTTGTGGGTTTAATGTATGACAAGTCCAATACTACCAGCGCATCTTTGACATCAACACAGAGATAGTTTTTTTTACCCAAAGAAAAAAAAAACAGAGTTAGTTTCGTTTGTACGCTACTGTTTCCCTCTCTGTTTCTGCACTACTGCTCCGCATCAATCAATCCTTCACTACTTAATTTTTCTATGCGTAATATGAACTATAATAACAGCCACACGGTTTGCAGTTGATGAATACCGCTTATTTACTAGGTTTTACTTGAGAGACAAAACAAAAAACAAAAAAACAAAATCTTTAAACATTGTAAATTTCATTCTAAGGTGTTCCTGAAAATTCAAGTTCAATTAAACGTTTCCAATGTGAAATTAACTCCTAAACCCAACATCCAATCAACTAAATTCATTAAGCTTGTATTTTTCTCGGCGTTTCCCAGATTATGCATATTTCAATGTTATGACCTCGCTTAAGCTCTGCGGAATGGCAAATAACATGGGTCGCGGTCCACAATGGGCCTTCCCACAGAACATGGGCCTATGGGCCTTGATCACTCCACTGGTTGGGAACCGAATTTCGCCTTGCAGATATCGATCAAAAGCCGTTCACCATATTCCCTTTATTAATTATTAATAACTGACCTTGTTTTCGTGCAAGAAGAACTTCGATTTGTGACCTTATTTTACAAATTATTCGCCATATGCAGATACATTAATATATGTGTATGTGTGTGTGTGTATATATATATATGAGGTGTTTTATAATATACTAGGAGTAATAGGAGAATTGTTGATCAACCAACCGCCATGTTGAATGTTGTCTGACCACAGCCTCCCAAGATTGCATGCGATCCAGTATTGTTTTTTTTTTTTTTAATAATTTGTAATAGTTACATAGTTTATGCTGGTCAACCCAGTATAGCGATTAGAGGACTTCCTGAAGGGAATAGTGCTTAATCTTTGGTTTTCTTTGATTATTGGACTATTTTTAAAAAGTCATGCGACCGGCTTGTTCCCTTCATCTCTTTTTCTTTGTTTTGCTTATAATAAATCAATAATTGTTTGTGGGCCGCGACTGCCAACTTGGTACGATCACTTCGCTCAAATTAAATTAGAACACATCCATGAAAAGCAGCAATGCCAAACAAACTACTGTTCTGCTTTGATTAAAAAAACCATTATACTACATTTAATTATCCACGTCCCCGTCCCAGTTGCTATTGGAATGTAAAACTGGTTATTTCACTGTGTTCAGAAGTTCTGTATCGTAATAAGTACTTATATTGATAATCTTGTTTGACCTGGAATTATGGAGCTTCCTTTGCCAACTTTTCCGTTTTCTAGCAAGACAATTTTTATTTAGTTTATTGGTAACTAGTGTTACTCAAGCCTGATTAAAATAATTATTTTGATGTGATTTTTTAATTCATAATGTTCCAACTTGAAGTCCAAATTACGAGTCGAGCGCCTTCCACATGGTTTTGACAAAATATTTTGTTTTAGGAAACCATTTTAATTTTTAGCCAAACCCTTTATTTATGTTTCTATATAAGAAAAGAAAAACTAGCTTGCGCCTAATTAGATTATTAAAAATAACGATTAAAATATAGTTATAGTTCTTTAACTTTTTATAAAGTTTTAATTTAATCCTTTAATTTTATAAAAAATATTTTTAATTATTTAACTCTAATACTATTAGTTTCAAATGACTACTTTTTGTCAATTATTATTATTTTAAAAAATTAAACTCAATACATTAATATTTAATAATATTTTATCAATATTTAAAAAATTATTGTATGAGTTTTTTATTGACAAAATTAAACAATATCAAATTTAAATAATTAAAAAGATGTTTCATAAAATTAATAGATAAAAATAAAATTTTGTGTAACGTTAAAAGATTAAAGTACACTTTAATTAAAAATAATTGATTGGGGGAATTAGGAAAAAATAATGGATGCCAAATGTAAGGAAATGAGTGGACGTTGAGCAAATGAATTGAGGACGTGGCTAGAGAATATGAATCCAATAAAAAAAGAATAGTAAGATGCGAACTGTTTCTCTAAACAACAACCTCGCCGATTATATTATATTCAGACCTGGACTAGCCCATGAGATATTCCCAATCATATTTGAAAGCAAAAAATTCTAATCATAATTTAAAGTCATCTTCACTATTTTCACAACGCACAAAAACCTCTTCAAGTGTTAAAAAAAAAAAAAACACGTGTTCGGTATTTATATAGTACCAGAATAAAATATACATGGCAGGAAGTAACAATGTTTGTAGGTGCTCTGTGTTTTCATTATAAGCAAATCTCAGGCATGGTTTCTCCTTTTTGTTTGCAAGTAAAAAAAATCAAATTCTTTTTTTTAACTGAAGAAAACAATCAAATTATGGATACATTTAAAAAATTTCTAAATTTGCTCCTCATCAAAAACTATTTATTAAACGAGTATGATGAGGATAGAAATAAATTTAAGCTAAGCATTAATAATAAGGATACTTTAGTCCAGAATATTTAACATAAGTCTTGATTGTTAAAATAAACAAACTTTTTAAAATGTGTAGAACAGTTAAACTTCGCTTATATTTAAAAACAAAAATAGAAGGAGTAAATTATAAATAAAAAGTTTTTGCATGAATCCGGTTAAGCCATTGTTAATAACAACTGCCTCGTGTAGTAAATTTTGAACTAATATCGAATTTGAGTTTTGAATTATATAATTATAATAAATATAAAAAATATTTTCAAAATATTTCTAGAAAATTTGAACTAATACGATTGGGTACTATTAATATTCTGGGTTATTCATGATACATAACAGTGATTTTAAAATCGAATCGTCTGGTATGATCATCGACTGATTTGGATTCCGATTCAATCAATGTATGAAAATCATTTTAAAAGTTAAGTCGGGTTGAACTGTTTCGAACTGATAGTTGAATCAAAAATTAAATTCGATTTTTAAAAATTGAACTGTTAAATTTTTAAAAAAATAATTATTTTTTAATTATTTAATATTATGTTGTATTACGTGGCTTGTTAGTCATGATAAACTTAAAATATTTAATTTTTTTTAAATTAAGTAATAATTTTATATTTATATTTTATATTTAAATTATTATATATATAATTTTTAATTTAATTATCATGTTATCAGTTTGATCAATGCAACCTATTTAAATTAAATGAACAGTAAATTAGTGACCTTTTCAATCCAATGTCGGATTCCACTTTGAAAGTTTTGATACAAAACGATAGAAATAAAATGGAGCGTAGCATAGTCCAAGGGGGCATTGAGGGTGTAAAAGCGCAAGAAGAGAAGTCTGACACGCATTTGATTGCCTTTGTCTGTTGCGATGAGTGAGGCCATAAACGTCAATGTTTGCGTCTATTGACTTTTTAGCCTCTCCTGTCTTTCCTCATGCCCACATGTGATTTCCATCCCCTCAAACAAATTCAATCAATTATTCCTGTTATTGCCCAATGAAAAAAAAGAATAAAAAAAAATCCATTATTCTATTTTACTCCCATTTTAGGCCTTTTCCTCCTCGTCAAATCACACACATCAACGTTTTGAAGATTTGCAAGTGCTGGTTGCATATGCAAACCAAAATTACTCTTCGTTTAGAAGGAGAGTCGTCGAATTATCTGCCAGTGTCAATTGGTTTTGATCCTTTGAATTGCATGAAAAACAAATCATCACCATTCGGCTGTCAAAAGATGTGGCGTTGACTATAAAAAATAGGGCTGCACAAAAGACAGGACGGCACTGAACTTCACCCTAACCCGAAGTCCGGTCTCTTTCATAAAAAAGATTGGGTTAGATAACCCATAGTCCAGTCTTGTCCAGTGATAACCCAAAGATTAACAGGACCGAACTTGGTTCATAGAATTAGGAGACTGATCCTGTCAGTCCAATACTCACTTAGCTTTTTTTCTTTTTTTTATTCTATGAGAGGAAATAATCCATTCCAACATAATAAACTCAATTAAGATAGTAAAAATACTTATAATAATAATAAATCTATAATAATTTCTAACAATAAGAAAAAAATATTTCTGTTATAGTCTAAATTATTTAAATTTATAACTTTAACAAAAACAGTACTCAACAAAATTCAACAACACTATATTACAATAACAATTTAAAAACAAACTTAATAAATCTTTATACAATCATCTCCTTGGCATCAATTACACTTTAAATATTTGTCAAAAATAAATTAATTATAATTATAATAAAAAAATTAATAGGACTGGATTGGACCAAGTGGTCCGGATGCCTGATCTCTTGTCCAGTCCAACCCGAAAAAATAGTCTGGTCTTTTTAGTCTTTTTGATCCTGAAGGACCAGTGACTATACAGACCGAACAAGACTGAGATCATCTCGGGTTGGACTGGATCAGACAGGACTGAAAGGCTTTTGCACAGTGCTAATAAAAAGTATGGCAGAGACTTTACCATGTACAATGGCTCCCCTCGATCATGATCGTTTAGCAAATCTATTGTATCAAAATTTGATATAAATGATGGATGATTTCAAAATTTTCCCAATTTCCCCCGCAAAAATTAAATTAATATATTCAATAACTTTTTACGTGAAAATGGATATTGTTTTCACGACTTGAGAATTTACCGAATCATGTAGTGCCTCCGATTCTAACTACAATACGCTGCTAACTAATTTATATTTAATTATCAAGAAAATTGGTTGTGTCAGTCTTTGATTTATTAAATTTGTTCCGAAACACATTTTTTTCACATGTACCCTTATTAGATGGCTAATTCCTCTATCCATCTTCTTCATGCTTTGGAATTCACTCTTCTTATTGTTTAAGGAAGATTCATAATCAGGACTAAATTGAAAAAACAAAAAATTAATTGAAATTGTACCGTAGGCCAAAGAAGAAATCGTTCCTTCGGATGCTTGTCTCTGACATTGGAGGAAGTAATAGATGCAATTGAAGGCCAAACAAAATATAGAAGGCAGACTTTGCATGCCAACATGAATCAATTCCATTTGGAGATTGGCAAAAGATCCTGGTAAAAAGAAAAAGTTAAATCTTCCGAAATTGGAATTTTGTATATTTTTGTAGAGTTTACTTATTTTAAAAGAAGAAATAGAAGAATTTATATTTTATAAAAATAATAAAATGACATAAAATATCAAAAAATCCACAAAAAAATCATAAATATAAATTCTAAAAGATTTCAATGCAAAATAAAAGAGTGCAACAAAAAGGGGCAAGGGCGGTGGCGAGGCAAGAAATGGGGCCCGGAAACCCAAAATAAAAACTAATCTAATACTGGTACTGTTTAATATTTAATTATTGAATGATAGCGATCGAATAAAAAATAGTAGCAATATTGAATTAATATTTAATTATTGAATGACAGCGATTGAAGAAAAGATAGTAGCAATATTGAATATCTCTATATAAATTATTATTTTTGTGGAGAATAATTTCCGGAACTGCGTGTGTCTTCTCCATGAAGAAGGAAAAATAATCTAGAATATAATATACCAGTGTTAAAAAAAATCTCAAAGGTTGGCCCAAAAAAAAAAATCTCGAATTGTCATTTATATATTTTAAGAGATTAAATTATTATATTTTAAAAAATTAAATTATCATTTATATATTTTTAAAAATTTTATTTTATTTTTCATATTATATATTGTAATTAATAAATTAAGTTATATAATTACATTAATAATTTTAAAATATATTTAAAATATTTAAAATTAAAATGCAAGCTTATTTAATTTAAAAGCCTTATTATTAAATAGGTTTTCAGGTTTAGGTTTGAAGGGCCAAGTTAAGTTATAGATATTCAAAAGAAAAGCTTTATACAAGCTTTAGGTTAAGTTTAAATTTTTGATTTACCACAACTCAAATTTATTTGGTCAAAGTCTAGCTCGACCTGGTCTATTTTTATTTTTAACACTAATAAAAAATAAAATTAAAAAAATAATTTAATTATTATAAAGTTTCATATATTTTGAATCAAAAATTATTTTAATAAAGTGTTTTATAAATAAAAGTAGGGGGAATATATGATAGCAATTTAGGTTCTTTGAATAGTATTTTAAGATTTGATGGCTAGAAGTGTATATGAAGAATATCATTTGAAATAAGGTAACTTTTAAAATGATATAGTGCTTGTTTGAATAGGCTATATAATCAATTTGCAAGCCCAAAACCTTGGTTTTGTTAAAAAAGAAAAAAAAAAAAACCTAAACAACTCGTTTTTCTCCAAAATCGATTTTACCCCCACAACCCCGTTTTGCATGAAGCTACTCCGACATGCTTTTAATGATCAATTATACATGTTAGGGCCATCATGGGTTTACACTTTACAGATTTTGTACCATTCCAAATATACCCATATGGTCGTATCTCTCTATCCCTCTATTTTTTTGGCCAGAACCGTGGCCATGTCAAAATCAGTTATTGCCAACCTTCTTTTACAAGCGTTTCTGTCTTTACATTTCACTCAATTTATATTCATATTTTCTTCCTTTAAACTCCTTTAATTTAAAAATATAAAATATTTTTTATTAAATTTTATTCTCAATAAAATAATTATTTATTTTTAAATTAATTTTATTTTTTATATTTATTTTTATTAAATACCTTATAATAAATATAAATTCATTTATCAATAAGAGCACTTAAAAAAAAAATAATTACACCTCAAAAGATTTACATTATTAAACATCTAACTCCTTAAAAAATATTTTATATTTTTAAATGTAGAAAGTATTTGTTTATAAATATTTTTGCTCAAGGTGATTTTAATCCTTTTACCTTGATTGAGATGTGTTTGAAAATTCAATGAAAATTGTCGCATTTTATTTTTATTCTAGCCTCTATTTTTGTCTATCTTTCATTAACATAATAAATGGATCACTATTATACAATCTCTTTAATTTTATTTATAAGGATAAAATTAGAAACTTATCAAATAAGTTAAATAATATAATTTGAATTTCTATAATTAATCATGTATATAAGCCAAATAATATATTTTAATTGTTGAATAAAGTTTAACAAATTTAATAACATTATATACAATTTTATCAATATTTTAATTATCAAAAGTAATGTTGGATATGATAACTTGAACATCTAAAATTAATTATAACTAAAACATTCAAACATCTTCTATTTTGTCAAAACTAATTTTTTAAAAAATAATATTTAAACATGGTCAAGTAATAATACAATATTAAAAACACGAGTAGTAAAGAATGCGGTAAATCAAAAATTTAATACAATATTAATAATATTTAATATTCAATCGGACTCATATAAATTTTTCAAGATTTTAGCCTTGCCATCGCGAGATATAAAAATAATAGAATATAATTACAAAAATTGGGGGGGGGGGGACAGGGAGAGCGTGTGGGTAAAAAACATGAGTAGTAAAGAATGCGGGGTAAGGTGTCAATCCAAGTCAACTCTAGCATATGGTAGCAACCAATAGATTTGTGTCCATTTTCAAAAGTGGGGTATCGATCGGACGGCTCCAACATTAGTTTGACCTTAGTTTTAATGCCCTTCAACGTCCCTCAGATCCAATAATAATAATAATTCTTCTGGGGCCCACGCTTCAGAAAAGGTCAATATCCCCCACTTCGCTTCCCAAACATTTCCCCCACAACTTCCCAAAACACCCTCCCAGATCTTATTCCCACCTACATTTGACGGTAACAGTGGCCTACGAACCATGATTCACTAGCGTGACAGATCGGTCACCTTGGCCACCGAATCACCCCCCAACCCCTCCCCCCTCTCTCTGTTTTTTTAGTCTCTGGCCGATCCAATCTATTTTGACCAGGTTTCCACCTTATCATTACCATTTCATTTCCTCTCACTTCGTTCCCCTCTCTTGCTTCTCTCTGCCTCTTTCATGGTTCTGTGAGTATGGCCGTGGAGCTCATGATGGGCTACAGGAACGATAGCTTCGCGGCCAAGATGGATGATAATGTTGTTCAAGAAGCTGCGTCTGGCCTGGAGAGCGTGGAGAAGCTCATCAGGCTGCTTTCCCAGAGTCAGCAGCAATTCCAGTCTTCTTCTTCTTCCGCTTCCAAGTCTTCCGTGGAAATCGAGATGGACTGTAAAGCCGTCGCAGACGTCGCCGTTTCCAAGTTCAAGAAGGTGATTTCTCTTCTGGGTCGAACCAGAACCGGTCATGCTCGATTTAGAAGAGCCCCTTTGCTTCCTCCTCCTCCTCCTCCTACCGTCAATCAAAACCCCGAGCCACAACCCTCGGAACCCAAAGTTTATTATGCGACGCCGTTGCAGCAGATCCCGCCGGCCCTTCTTCAACACCAAACTCTCGGCGAGCAACATCCCCTGATCCCCAAAAATGGGATGATTGAGAGGAAGGACTCGTTTAAGACCATTAATTTCTCGTACTCCTCCGCCGCGACGTCATTTATGTCGTCCCTCACTGGCGATACTGATAGTAAACATCCATCGTCGTCGCCGCCGGCGACCGCTTTTCAGATCACAAATCTGTCTCAGGTCTCCTCAGCGGGAAAACCTCCCCTTTCTTCTTCTTCGTTGAAGAGAAAGTGTAGCTCCGAGAACTTGGGTTCCGGCAAGTGCGGCAGTTCCTCTAGTCGTTGCCATTGTTCTAAAAAGAGGTATGCGACGGGTCTGTCCTTATTAAACTCGATCCTTTTTCCTTAAGAATGTCAAAGTCAAAACCTTTGAGATGTTTCTGTTGCTAAATGTTCTGTTTTCAATGGATGCTCTGTAGCAGAAAAATGAGGCTAAAGAGGGTGGTGAGGGTGCCAGCAATAAGCTTGAAGATGGCTGATATCCCACCTGATGATTATTCATGGAGGAAGTATGGACAGAAACCCATTAAAGGATCCCCTCATCCTAGGTAAATGAACTCTCTCAATTTATTTGCACGTATCTATCATATAGCTCTGATTTCAACTTAAATTTTACTCTAGTGTTTGACCTCTGTATTTGAGATTCTAGAAAGGATCCATATTTGTGCGGGAAGCCAAACGGAGTTTTTTTAATATTAGTTTGCTTTTTCGCTGATTCGCCAATGTTAGCAAACCCAGAATGGTGTTTGTCCTTTATACTCTATTCCGAGATTGTACTAAGATCTCATACTGATAACAGGGGATACTACAAGTGCAGTAGCGTTAGAGGATGTCCGGCACGCAAACACGTAGAGCGAGCTCTGGACGATCCATCCATGTTAGTAGTCACCTATGAAGGCGATCATAATCACTCGCTCTCTGCGGCCGATTCAACGAATCTCATACTGGAATCCTCTTAGCCTTTAATCAATTTGACGGTGAGGATTAGCAGAAGCCGTGCTCCCAAGGCATCGAGTTATGGTCAAGTTCAACATTTCAAAGGAGCAGTTGGCTCTGTGAAGAACTAAAAATGCTTTATTAATCTCGAAGGAGATTAGTTGATTACCACTCCCTTTCCCTGTATAATATTGGATTCCTTTTATCTTTCCTGTTCTCTCTCTTGAAAACCGAGACCCTGGCTGTGAATCCATTATCCATTATTATAAATTAAAACAAAAGAAGAAAAGAAAAGCACAGATGGTGGATTTGGTAACGGGTTTCAACATGATAGAAAGTGGAGGTGGTGGGGAGGTTTATTCCTTTCGAATTTTCTATTTGGTTGCTTTTTACCTTTGCCTTATTGGTGCTCACCTTGGATGCTCCTCCTCTCAACTTTTTTCATCCGGATACTGTCACGGCGTCCGAATGCTCTCTCCTTTTGTTTTTTTTTTTTTTTAAACTTGTCTGAATTTCCAATGTTCGCATTGAAATTTTGAAACAGTAAAGATAGATAGAGAGGGGAAATAAAAGAGCGAGGAAAGGGACCGAGCCAAGGAATTGGACAGAAAGGGGGAGACATGACATGTCGTGTAGAGGAGGGTTGACCATAAGGGGGAAAAAAACAGAGGGTGCAGTTGCCAGTTGGGTTGGGGTCGGCTGAATCAGTGAAAAACGTTATTTAATGCAAAATTTGTTTGGACCGTTTGAAGCGTAGGCGAATGAATTTGGGAAGGAGGGGTGGTGTGGAAAATTGACAAAGGAAGAGAAATGTTTGTTCGGGAAAGACGATGGCAAAAGTCAAAAAGGGTTGGTGGTGGAATTGATTGACGAGTTGGGGCCAGAAGAAGGGTCCTCCCTTGTTTCCATATTTGTTGCCTTGCTCGCTCTGCCTTTGCCTTTGCCTTTGCCTTAACGTCAACTTTGTTGTGCAGATTGGACCCTCCTTCCTTCACGTATCTTCGTCACCACCACCATCCACTTCCTTGTTCACATCCCACGCAACTCATCCATATAAAAATACCCATCTTTTGTTTCTTTTCTCCCCCACTCACATGCCTTCTTGCACTAAAGTCAAACACTTTTTGGATTCATTTAATTCGCGTTCAAATACAACCCTTTAAAATAAGCTTTGTGCCATTTTCATCTCTATTGTTCACACCACTGTGCTCTGGTGATGGCCTCGAGGAACTGACCGATCTTATCTTTCGTTAAATTATTCTCTTTTGAGATTTGCGTTCCACATCTTGAACGGTCATATTATAGATATAATGACAGGAGAAAACTACTTAATTTTATGTATTCAAACAACGCCATATTAGATGGATATGAAAATGTTGGGCTGAATCTTCGGCATGCAGAGATGCCCGAGCAATCTGGTTTATTCGTCTTTACAATTTCATTTGTTGTTTGGGTTGGCTAACTATTGCAAACTACTAATTGCTAGTACGCGAGCGTGAATGTTGAGAACGAAGTTCATGGATAAGGAACACGAGCCATTTCCAAGGTTTGCAGTAGTTGTGAATAAACTGTTCAATAACTAGATCTAGATATCAACGAAGTTGGTGGTGACCTTGCTAACTAGATGCTCGCCATACACGGCTCTTCTGAACTTGTTGGGACCATTCGCCCTCGTTTTAAATGTATCCAAAGGCTCCACTGCCGTATTGAAGTTTGTCTGTTCCATCACGTGTGCAACACAATCACACCCACATCAGCTACCAAACAATCAGAACAAGAAGCAGGTCAGGGATGAGTTCGCAAGAATTGCTGATCACCTCGTAAAAATATACTACGCTGACTCTGTATCTTTCCGAGTTGTTTATCACCCGATGCAGAGTTGACTCGTACAAACCATTGGAGTATATCTGCACTGCTGATCACGTTACTCACAGAATCCCAGAAAGTGAAGGATTGGTTTAACGAATGAAGATATGATGTTCCACATCTGCGTACCTTTAGCATGTCACCGATGTTGCACACAAATGATCCAGGAACCGAAGGTGCTGATATCCATTCCCCGGACAAGTTCTTCACCTTCAACAAATTGAATTTTAAGATAAATGATTGGCTTCCTGAAGAATCCCGGAAAATGAATAGAATATCCATCCTTGTGCCCAGACAGGAGTGATCTATGAGCAAAGTGCATACCTGAAGTGCGTTTATATCGTCATCCTGATTAAGCAATGTTAATAAACCTGTCGACCGACATGTCAAGATGATTGAGAATGACTTGCCAAAACATTCTAGGCTTCTATAATTTTAAGTTAGGAAGAGTTACCATAATCAGTGTGAGCTCCACTGGATTAGTTATGGAGAATCAAGAGGCACAAAATGGGAAAGACATCAGTAATGTAAGGCTCAGTGATAGAAACAGAAGGGCAGACCTCGAGAAATGCAATACTTCATTACCATCCAATGTCATTTTCGAGATCAGCTTTTCCATTTGCGGGAGACACACCTGGGTAACCAATAAGTCTCATAACCCAAAATGGATCCCCGGCTCTTTGACCTTCAAATTCATCTGGTGACCCACCTAATGCTAAAGCAATTCCCCTCATAATTTTTCTTGCGAGCTCTGCTGGTACCAAGGAACCGCGTAAGAAACCAAAAGTTCAACCATAGAAGCCTAATTATATGAAAGTATGAGTAACAGGAAATGAGTGAGACAGAAGCTTGCCTGTGCAGAGACTAATATACTCCTCCATTAGAACTTGGAAGTTTGGAGGACTTTGTGGCCTTCACCATTGACCGAAACAAAATGAAAAAGTAAGTCCAAACTTCATAATCGACAGTTCCAAAAGATATTTACTTACTAGAAATACCTCTCTACTGAATGTTAATTCTCCACCATACAACCTAGATCCTTCCTCACTAACCCACGCCTGGTGGTTGTAGGTCATCTTGTTTAAATCAAGATAAATGATCAAACAGTGAATCTAACAAATACTTATTCTCGCCATCATAATGCATGGCTTTTGGGAGAGGAGGAGGAAATATAGGCATCAATTAGAGAAAGTGAGCCTTGATTTTTTTTTTTTAATGACCGAAAGGTATCTTTTTATTAAAAGTGATCTCGTTCGAGGCACTGTTGACCCCTGATTTCACATACCACTGGTTGCATCCTTTCATGGATTCACCAAGCTTTCCGTACATGCCCTCCGTCACTTCCCTATAACACTGTTCCAGGAAAAGGATTGGTTGATTAGCTTATTATGCCTGTCCAATCGCAGAAATTAAGAACAAGACAAATTGTGTGGGATTTCTATATATTCCATGTGATCAAGTTGATTTTGATATTTCTAATGTACTAAATACGCTGGATCACGGAGAGGAGAATTTGAATGAAGAGCTGATTAGTTGTCTTCAATGTATGGAGTTTCATCACGTAAGCACTAGCTAACTAGTGATAAAGCATTAAAAAAAGATACATTGTATCGAAAGGGGGAAAAATTTAAGACCTACATCTATAGCTTCATGCATGTCAGGTACACCTTTAGTTATGTTTTCTCCGATCCTCTGATATCCTCTGCATTCAATTTAAGAGCTGGATTGTTAACTCTGAAGTGAAAAACGCACAAGTGCTCTACATATAAAAATTTGTCATGCAAGGGAATCTATGCAATGAAACAAACCTGTAACCAGTAGCCGCGGTCATTTTAATCTTCATCTTTTCTTCAAATGGAAGTTGAAAAAATCTGCGAGTTACATCTTTAACCTCTTTGAGAAGAGTAGCAGGAATACCATGGCCTTTCTGATCAATATAGAAAAGATTGAGAAGATCAACCACCTTAATGCCATGGCCCTGAGTCTTGCTTTGAATCATGCAGAAAGTATATAACTTAACAGAAATTACAGAGATGACCTATTGGGTGATCACAATAACTTTGCCAGAAGTTGCCATATACAATTAACCATATCAAATTTACAAGTGCAAATCAAATGAAGTCAAATGCATATATCTCTTCAGTTACTGCATACCACTCCTCGTCCTTCTCCCATTTCCCCCCTTTTGCAAATTGCAATTACGTTTACATTTCAACAACGGCCGATTTTAGTTGCTAACCATCGCAAGTGACATGCACATTATTCCCAAACACAATCCGGATCTGTAAAAGCAATAATATCGAATATGCTGGTAGAGGTACTGGTGGACCTATTGTGTAAAAGTAAAATACTACCTTCTATCTTGTACAAGTCACTGTTAGCTACCTTGCAGATATTAAGAAAAGTTAAAGTAGTTTAATTTCATAAATTTGTCTCAAACTGCAATTATTCTTCAGAACTACCCTAATAAATGGTTTACCTCTTAACATGTACTATAAATCTAATCATCCCTAATCTCTCACTTACTGATCAACACTAGCTACTTACTATTTAGATTATGAAAACTCTCCATCAAGTTAATGGAGAGCGGGTGGAATAACTAAATATGCTTTATGTCCCAGGGAAAAAGGAAGGCAAAGATAAACAGACTGTAGAACTGCAGAATGTTATTATTCTTTCCATTCTCTATAGATAAAATCGTCCTATTTTTTCCAGCCAGAATACTAAAGCAAGGACGGAGTAAGAGAAACAAATGTCAAGAGAAGCAGAGAATCGATGGGAAAGTACCACGTAGAAGAACCCAGCCTCTCTACAAGCCTGATCCAATTGTCGAACAACCTCCGAGACTGCAGGGTCCTCAGCCATTTTTGGGTCATCGGACTTGGCTAAAAGGGAGCTAATATCTGCGTTAAAAAATGAAACAGTGATACAAGAAACGAAGCACACCACTTGGCCCCCCTCTTGACTCTTGCTGATTTTACTCGATACTTGAATACTCAGGAACTAGAAGCATAACAAATTTCAGCAAATATTCTCAATTGTAACTGGTAAGCATTCAAATTAACTAGCACGATCAATTATATAACGAGTTATGGAAAAATTTAGAGTTCGAGGGAAGAAAAGAACCGAAGGGTATCAAATTTGAGGTGAATCAGATTCCTAGTAGGAGAAGATTACGGAACTGAAAGCGGAGCTTACCAATAATGGGTATGCAACTAAAGTCGGTGGCCATCGGTCGCTGGGATTATCTCTCTCTGTTCCGAGGGAGGCTTGGTGGAGGATGCGATTGTTGAAAGTCGAATTTGCACGCTATATGGTGATTCAGTGCTTGATTTCCAGTGCTGTCGTCGTCTTCAAGAAAATCTTGACCGGGGACCACTTTGCACGAAATATGACGCACGTCACGACGAGACGACGAATATGATGATTCTGAGTCATAAAACCATAATAAAAGTATAAAACAGCAATTATGAGATCCCCTTTCTAGCCCATCCAAAGAGATCTTTCCTTTTTAGCCAATTTCCTGTTGTGTTTTGATAATTGGAGTTATGATGTCAACCAATTTATCAATAATCAGTAAGTTATATGCAGCTCTATTATCACCGTACTATTTGAATGAAAACTGAAATATATTACTGATAGCCAAGTGAAGATAAATAAGCAAAGTATTAAAAACAATCTACACACCTTTCTGAATAAGAGGTGAAGGTGATGAATGATATTAAAAGAATAAGGTATTTCATTGTATTTTTTTGCTAACAAATCAACAGAAAAGTTAAGATAGAGACACCATGGATGAAATCGAAGCAAACAATATTCAATTTATATAAAGGAGATCAACTGTATATTGGATGACATTTTTGCAAGGATGAAAAGTAGAGGCTCTCAAATAAGTAGGTTGATTGCCTCAGCTGGCTCGCCCCGATGAGCGAGCACTTGAATCCTTTATACTTCATTTTACCCTTCCCCAACAAACTTCAAGCCGAGAGCTATGCCTATTGTCAGCGTACTTTGCACATATATATTGACAAAGTTTTACTTCCTTGATTTATGAACAATCAGATCTGTTATGAGTATTATATTGATGTTTCGATGATTTAAAAATTCTTGAGCACCCTGTCAGCACCCTGTAGTATCTCGAACCGCGTTATCTTGATATTTTTTGCTGGCATCTGGAAAACTTCAAATGAAAGGGTCGTTGGTATAATTTTTCTCTATTATTTTTAGATGGCATCTGTGTGTGTGTGTGTTTTTAACTGTTTCATTTAAACTTTTGATTTTGGGTACTTTATTTTAGAAGTTGTTAGAGGAAAACTGAAAAAGGGTACCCATGCCAAGGGGGAAGATCACATTGCGTTGTTTAGATAATTTGCGCTTAAGGAAAATCTGTTTGTGTTTTTTTTCCTGATAAAGAAATCTGTTTGTGTTAATTGTATTGGGGATAAGCTATATTAACATCTTTGTTAATTTATACTCAATATTTCCGCTATTTTATAAATATTACAATAAACTTTCTTAATATTTAAAAGTGCATTTAAAAAATCTGAGGGTTAATTCCTAGTTTGTATGTGAGATGAGATTAAGATTTTAATTTTAGGATTTAAATCCTCTAAAGTTGAGATTAATGAATTAACATGAAACTTTTTGTTTTAATATTTTCCCTCATTTTATTATTTCCATAACATTGAAAGTAATTTTAAAATTTAAAATTTTATTTCTAACACACTGTACATTAAAACTTATAATAGTTTACTTGATACGAAACAAAGGTGCAGATACAGTTCCATAGAAGGATACCTATATCACTAGTGAATTAAAAAGGTTATAAAATATATTTTGGAAAACAGTGGGTAGCGGATGGCTTTCAAGCTGCCCATTGCTCTGCTACTGCGCTCATTTGTTGGAGTGTAAAACAACTCGAGGCAGTGGATATAGCCAAGTCAAGAAAACATGAAGTTGACTTGGAAGCTTTCGCTCTATTCATGTACCAGCCGTGGCAGGTAACCTTAGACAAATATCATAGTTTGTCTAAGAGAATTAGGTTTAATAAAAGAAGAAAAGTTTATATTTGCAGATAGGTTATGGTAGAGAATTGCAACTTCTCTGAACTGACATTGAATTTAAAAGCTGGGCCGTAGCATTAGTTAGTGATTACATAACTAATGCACCACCAAATGCATAATTTGAAGTGGGGAGAAGAAACCTGCCGGCAATAGATTAATATAGCTGCTCATCATCTTCCTAATATTGTAAATACGTATTGCTTATTTTTCTCCCCAAGAGCCTGCAAATTAAATATTTCACTCAGTCCATTTTTTACCCAATTGTTTTGCTGTGTGATCATTACTTTACAGGTCTTTGTTTCCCGCTTTCCCTATTTAATTAAACTACTTAACCTGTTTCACTGTCCCCTGGTTCGTGGTTAATAAAATCGAAAGTAACTATAAAGCCTGCTCTTGGAATTTGAAAGTTAGGATTCATCGAAAAATAAAAGAAATTGCATAGTTTCCATACAGTGGTAGAAAATGAAATGGGAGGAAAAAATTCATTTTACAATCACCAGCACTGACCAAGAGTATGTAGCAAAATGAAAATAATTCATAAATAAGTATATCTTTTAGCAGTATACATGATGATAACGTGGACTTGAAATGAAAGGCGATCTACTGAGAAGGAAACCGAAAAACAAGATGGTCACGACGACGAGGACGACGTCTGATTCTTACAATACCGGACGCTGTTCTCATCCATCCTTTCCAACACGTAATGCCCCAAATTGCCAGTGACCTCCACCAGATTCTCCGGGCACAGAAACTCCCTCCCGCACACCTTCTCATCCTCCCCGGAGAAATCGTGCACGAACACGTGCGTCTTTGGGTTCCCCCCTTTCTTACTCCTTGCCAGCACGCCGGCGGTGAATATAGCCGACATCCTCCCCGGCGCGTCCGGCCAGTTCCCCCTCGGTCCGTCCACCAATATCACATCCCAATCCATGTCGTACACGTGATTCGGAAGGTCATTGATTCCTAACTTGCATTCCGAGAACAGCAGATTCTGCACCGGCCTGCACTCGTTCCTCACCTGCTCTTTCGCCGAGGCTATTAGCTCCTTCATGTCGCGCCTCTTCGTTGTGTACTGCACGTCATACGCGTCGATTTCCGGATGCTTCTCTTCAATATACGCCGCGTAGTACCGGTTCTCGTCGATGAACACTGTCCTGCCATTGTGGTTCAGGGCTTTCCACAACAGAGTTTCGTGGGTGAGACCGAATATGAGGAGATTACACGGCGAGGAGCATTTCCGAAGCACGTCGGAGATGGGCTTGAGGTCCGAGTAGGGCATGTGGTAGGTGTCATTGGACTTGGAGGCGTAGTGGAGAAGCGTGTTGATGACGGTGGGCGGTAAAGGGGCGTTGTTGATACCAGAAACAGAGGTGGCGACGATGGAGGGTTTTGCAGGGGCCGGAGAGATCGACTCTCGAGTGTAAATGAGGGTGAGGAGGAAGGCGACCGTGAAGAGGGATATGAAAGCCAGAAGCCACAGGCGATTGGAACTTCCTTGCTTGTGAATGTAAGGGTGGAGAAGGATGAGCTTGGTGTTGTTATTGGTGGTGTTCTTCATGGTAGTTTTGGGGTTGAGAACAGAGTCTCTGTTCTTTAGCGGAGAGGATCGGAAGAGACTCTGAAAGGGAACTAGAAAAGAAGGCTTTGATTTTAAAGAAGTGTTGGGGAGAATTGAAGCAAAGGCGAAGCGAGACAATAGGAGGCTTGGTTGGTATATTTAAAAAAGGTCACAAGGTTGAAATGGGTTTTATTAAATGTCACCATCGGACACGGGTACTGGTTGGTATTTTGACATGATTAATTCCTGATATGCAAATAAGAGTATTTAATTACGGAGCCAAAATACGAATGGAAATGGAGAAGGACAGTGCAGGCTTCGGGGGTCGTTGAGGCAGAGGGAGACAGACCATAGCTGCAGCGAGCGACTCCACAACTAATGACAAGCCCCGAGTCGCTTTTCCCTCTCGTTCTCCGTCCTATTTCTCACGTAACCCCCATCTCAGAATATTGCATATTTCTCAAACACGGAGCTGTCTCTGAATGAGACCATGTACCTGCTAAGATTCCCAGTCATCTTCTCCATTTTATAGTCGTCTGTATCATCAGGATCAGAAACCGTAATATAAACCAAGTCTGATACAACTTCAACTCAGTATATACACGGCCACACACTCCTCCCACTGCGGAACCACCACTCCATGGACCTATTCCATTATACTTATGAGACTGAAAAACATTTGAGCCCAAAACAATTATAATTGGGCTGAAGCATTAAATAGGTTTACTTTTTGGCGGCTGTTAATTAAGGTTCATCTCGATTCATGAAGCCCAATCCGTTGCGTAGAAGCACAGATGGTAAAAATATAGGCTTCAATCTTAAAAAGGTACCCAAAGTCTTTGCCTTTTTTTTTTTAAAAATACATGGTCACAACAAATTGTGTAGAAAAACTAAGATCTAGTAATATCTAAAATTAAGAGGCTTTTACAATCATGTGGAGGTTCATCAAAAATCATAATATCAAAGTTGTCACATGTTGTTTGGTAAGATAAGAGATCAACATGTTTATTTATTTCTCCACAAATGTGATCAAAAGTAATCACCCAATCCCTCATAATAAGATCTTTTATTTTTTTGGTAATATCAAATAAGGGATAACTTCCTGAGTAGTTATGACTAATGAGTGACAACGCCTCCTTTAAATTTGAATAGACGTCAACTTTGGATAATTTCTCTTTTTAGCAAAGGTTAAGCCCTTCAAAAATTCTCATAAGCTCTGTTGCTGTGCTAGGATAATAACAAAAATATTTGAAAAATTCTTCAATTGAATTTTCCTTATCATCTTCCTTATCATCTCTGATATGCCTTCATAAGCAGTAGTTCCATTAATGTTATTAGAGCTATCAGTATCAAGTCTAACCTATCTAAGTTCAGGTGAGTTCCATTTGACATCATATCTAGTGTCTCTTTTGTTTAATTGATTGAATTTGAATAGAAGTTTTGGGTCATTATTAATCTATTGAGTGTTAAAGAAGGCAATATTGATGTACATGATCTTATCTTTAAAGTAGAGTTTCTTGCATCTAGCTTTTCAAATGTTCCAACAAGCTTGGGCAAAAAGTCTCTTCCAGGTGTTCTTCTTGTGTTTAAATTATCCAGTCTTGCAAACTAAGAGAAAAAAAGGTGTAAACTTTTGTAGGGTGAACCAATTTTTTTCAAACCTTTTTAACTTCCTCACAATCTCTTAAAATATGAATAGAAGAGTCAAAGGAATTACAACTAAAGAGGCAAGTATGTTGTTAGGGACAATAACCAATAATATGCAATGGTTGTTTTATAGGCGATTCCAAATAACCTTCCAAAGAAAAAAAATCTATTTTTTCATATGTAAGCCACTTTCAAATTTTAAACTAGATATTTGAGCAATTTTGATCCTTATAAGTCTCCATAGCTTTGTAGCCAGATTTGATGGAAAAGTTATTATCAAAGGAAGGCCTATAAAAAAGAACACATTCTTCACTCTATTGATCAGGAGGTTACACAAGTGAGATATGTTTGATCATATCTAAGTAAAGGCAGTGACACAAGAGGTTAATATTCCATCATCCTATGTTATTGCAAAAGTCAATGACTTTAGCATGGAGAATAAAGTTGGCATTAGAGAACGCATATTTAACAAGAGGGTCTAGGAGCAAAGACCATTTATCATACCAAAAAATATTTGATCTCCTCTACTAACTTTTCAACCAACGTGAAGTATGAATTTATTCCAAAACTTTGCATATATTACTCCAAGTATAGGAGTAGGTGTTAGGTTTGACAACCATCGAAATTTTGGTTTTGTTGCATTTGTATTCATCACGTAAAATCTACACCTAAAGACAATTAAATTTAGTAATGAGGCCCCAACAAAGCTTCATGGGGAAGGTAAAATTTTGATTTTTAAGCTTTTTAAGGCCAAGTCTTCTATCTTTTTTGTCCATGGTAATGCAATCCCAAGAAAAAAGATAAGGTTTTTTATTACCATCAAACGAATCCCAAAGGAAATTTTTAGAAATTTTTTTCAATTCAAAAAAAAGGTCAGGTAAAAGCAGAGTTTGCATGATATAGTTGAAAGAGCGAAAAGAATAGATTTGATAAGTACAAATTTCCCCGCCATGTTCAAATAGCAGCCTTTTCAATTTGTCAGTCATACATTTATCTTATTAAGAAAAAGGGAAAAGGTAAGTTTAGAAGCATTTTCATGAGTAATAGAAGTTTTAAAGCATTTACCAAGATTGCCTATGAGAGGAATCTTTAACTCAACACTAATTGGCATAGCTCTGTTAACATTGGCATTATTCAAACAGAAGAATTGGATTTATTAATGTTTATCTTCTTCCTAGAGGCATTGTAAAATTCATAAAAGCATTATTGCATGACCATAGTTTGAGAGAGAGAATGCTTTGCAAAAAGCAATAGATCGTCAATAAAAAATAAGTGAGAGATAGGAGGCTTATTAGTTGTTAGTTTAATTGGCATCAATTCATTATTATCAATGCTATTATTAATGCAATGGCTTGAATATTTAATATAAAGCATAAAAAGATAAGGAGAAAGAGAATCTCCCTGATGCCACGGGAAGGTGTGAATTTTTTAGATGGCTCTTCATTCCAAATGACTCGCATGCATGTAATAGAGATAGTAGCCTAGATCAATTTTTTGAAGTAATTATTTATCCAAATAGATTTAAGAGTATTGTTAATGAAGTTCTGAGTAGTTTATTAGAAGTCTTCTTAAGATCTACCTTAAGAGCCATGAAACCCTTTTTACCCATTTTGTTTTGCATGGAATGGATAACTTTATGAGCAATTATGTTATTATTACTACTCTGTTGCCCCTGTATGAAGCTGCATTGATTATCACTAATTAAGTGGTTCATATAAGCATGAAGTTGATTAGAGAGGATTTTGATGATAATTTTATAGCTAACATTACAAAGGGATATAGGATGAAAATCTTTCATGTAAGTAGGATAATCATTCTTTGGGATCAGAGTGATGAAGGTGTTGTTAACCATCGCAATAGTTTATGGTTCTTTAAAAACCTTTTTCACATATTTGATAATCCTATGATTCAAGTTGTTCCAGTAAGTATGAATGAAACCTTCATTTATACCATCAAGACTTGGAACTTTAAAGGTCATAATGTTAAAAGTGACATTCTTGATTTCATTATCAGTCACTTCTTTATGTAAAGATTGAAGTTGGATGAATGAGAGAGGTGAGAATCTTCTTTTGATAATAAGTGTAAGTTTGGCTTAGATATCCTCCTTAAAGAGGTTGTCAAAATAGGAAGCAGCCATGCTTTTTAGTTTGTTTTGATCTTGAACCCAAGTACCATTTTCATTTTTAAGTGATAAAATCTATTCTATTTTTCATCTAACAACAGATGTAGCATGGATAAATTTGGTATTTTAATCACCCCATTTTAACTACTTACATCTAAATTTTTGAAACTAAATTAACTCTTCTTGTAAAAAGGCTTGGTTATAATCTTTTTAAAAGAGATTTTTCCAAATTATAATTATCTCTATAATTTCTATTCTTATCAACACCTTCTAAATGATGCAAAATTCTCTTCTTGTTATAAGATATATTGCCTATTTTGTCCTTGTTCCAAATGGGAGCAGATGTTGTAAATTTAAATGCTTCCTTCAATCTAATCATAGGTTATCCATGACTCCTTAACCAAAGGATGAAAAGATTCTTTAAACATCTAAGCTGCAATGCAATGAAAAGGTATAGAATGGCGCTCTTGATGATCCCTCTTATCAAGTTGAATTCTAATTGGTTAATGGTCAGAACCATATTTGAAAAGGTGAAAAGTGTCAGTCTGATGAAATTTAAGTCTCCAATTAGTGTTACAGAAGGTCCAGTCCAATTGTTTTTTTATCTTACCTTTTTTCAAAGTAAATCTTTTACCATGGTAGTTTAATTAGAATAGGTTGGACAAATTTATGCAATGTCTAAATTGTTTCACAGACCTCCAATTAAGGTTGTCTCCCCTAAACTTATCATTGCAAAAAAATAAGAGTTAAAATTCTCAACAATGAGCTAGGGATTAATAGTATTATGTGTTATAGAGATGATGGAATCCCAAAGGAGATCACAATTATAAGGGATAGGGTTACATAAACACAGGGGAGCATGTAGCAATCATTGGTAGCTAAAATGTTAACCTTGTAGTGAAGCAATCGGATATTGGAATAAATATAATCAATATTAACAATGTCATTATTTCATAATAGCCAAATACCACTAGCATAGCTGGTAGCTTACACATGTATTCAATCAGAAAAACTTATTTTTTCAACAATTTTATCAACTCTAACACCACTAATTCTATTTTCCAATAAGATAAGGATTTGAATATTAAAAATTATAGTGATTTCTATAATATGTTTAAGAAAACTTTTAACACAAAAACATCTACAATTCTAGCAAATTATATTTATAATATAAATAAAAGGAACAGGTAAACCTAGATTATGGCTAGACATCAAGAGATTTCTCTGAGTGATCAATTTGGTCATCATTGAAGTCTTGCCTTTTTGTGTCCACTAATACTGCCAACACAATAACACTGTGGCCTCTTGCCTTCCGCCAAAGCGCCAAGCTCTTAGACAATAAAGCTTTCCTTAATTTGAATTGTTGATGGCTTTATTAAAATGCCTTTAGCCTAAAATTGACTGCTAGAATGATGTACATGGGCTACGTGGAGTCCTTGCACTTTGAAACTGTGAAAGGGGAGAATAAAAGAGACAAGTGGTGGGCCTCCGTGTGATAAAGGGTTCAATTATAGAAGGCACATAATTTAAGTGCTTCCTGGACTCATTCATCAACCCTGAATAGTAGAGCCAATTTAAAGCCACGCACGTTCCCCGAAAGCATAGATTTCCAATATGGGGATGACGATGATTTCAAGGCTTTGAGATTGTGAGTGCTGGTTACCAACACACCACGACTCTTGCATTGGGAGGGCATTCTCTTTTCACAGCACCATTTTTCATCTAGTCTTTCACATTAGCGAATGCTTAAAGTCAGAGACATTCTTTTGTCTCTTGCCCCACAATATGGCTCTTTCTTTTTGTTCAATCTCTCATGTCCTTTATTTTTTTATCTATTTATTTATGCCGGGACTTTTAACTCGTTGCGTGGTAAACCCTTCTTAAATGACTTTATGCTAAATTCTATCTTCCACCTGATCAAAGATCAACGAAATGCAAGTGGCTTCCTTTTTACACATTTTTATTGGTGATTGGTTCTCGCTGAATTAAAGACGTGATGGTTAAAAATAAAATACTGACGAATGTCAAAAGTGGTGGAGATCGTGAATCATGATTACTGGAGGGACCATGAGAGAAGCACATGTTTCTGCTGTGATGCAGAATGACGTAAACTATGATTGTTTTGAAGACTGGGCAAGTGGGTATTCACATATACTTGGAGGTCTAAATTCCATTAGAATGGGATTATTAATGAATGAGTGGACGAGACAACGGATCCTTGAAGTTCACTGATCAATGGTGTTCCGCATGTAGTAGTCATCCATGCAACTCATGTCATGTTGGCTGCTCTGCTCTGCTCATCAAGAAAAATGAGTCCAGGAATTTTTGTTTTTGTTTTTTTGTTTTTGGTTTTAAAACGTGTAGAGAAAGATAGGCGTTTGATAGCTTCAATAGTACAAAGTTGGATGGTATGTTAAATAGCACAATAAGTATTCATTCTCTTTAAAAATATTTTATATTTTTTAAGAGATTAGATGTTCAAAAATATAAAATATTTTTAACCTTTTAAGGTGTAATTATTATCTCTCTCTCTTTCAAAAATATTCCTATTAAATAAATTATTTTATATTTATTTTAGGGTGAAACATCCTATTTAATAAAATTAAATATAGAAATATAGAGTAAGATTCAGTTTTTTATTGTCAAATTTTAGAGTTGGCTCTCTAAGTTTAACATTTTTACATTTATAACTTACAAAATTATATCAACTTACTCATAAATTTGGATTAAATGCAAACTCAGTTAACTCGCGAGTTCATTTATCAAATTTATTTTTTTATGTTTCTAATTTACAAAATAATATTAGCTCATTTATAAATTTAAACTAAATGCAAACTTAATTAAACTCGTTAAATTTGTTATTTTTTGAACAAATTAAACGAGTTAAACATATATTACGCAAAATTCATCATGGAAGCAATAGGATCTACTTTAAAAAAAAATAAAACTCAAATAAAAAACTAATATTAATTTAAAAAACAAGAAATAATACTAAAAATAAGCTGCCTTATTTTAAAATTTTTTACACTGAGTATGATAATCTATCCATGTAGATAAATTTAATTTTAATAATTATATTTAAAATATATTTAAATTAAATTATTATCATATTAAATATTTTAATTAATTATTTTTTATTTATTAATAGAGTTAAATTTTTATGAGTTTATAATTTAAAATTATATTTTTGTTATAAATTTATTTAAACTCATAGGTTTAATAATTTTGATTCAATAAAAAATATTTTATATTTTTTGTAATGAAGTGAGTATAAATCAAGACGTACGAAACAATAACCGTCTGGCTTAGTCAACAGCGGGAAAAAGGAAAGAGCTTAATGCAGGGTGTGTCCATTGCAGCATGCATGCATGGCTCTGAAGAAGCCTGAAAGAGAGGGGACTGCCACCCTTCACGTGCCTCTCTGCTATCCCCCGCCAGCTGCTTCCCACTCCATTCGTCCTATTTTTCTCATTCCTTTTCATCCCCACCGTTATTGTTGTTCTTGTTAATTATTAAAGGATTAAGGTGTACAAATATTTAAAATTTTTTTTGTTCTTTTTGATAAAATCAATGGACATTCTGTACCATTATTAATTTAAAAATATCAAAAGTTTCTAAACAAAATATTTCTAAATATTGTTATACCTTAGTCCATTATTACAACCCAAGTTTTGCATAAAAGTTCAAGGTTTGAATTTAAATAATTCAGATTTAAAAAATATACTTTTCATATAGCATGTCAATTAAACACATGAATAATTGGTTCACTTTTTATTTAGAAAATTATACTTACTCTTGTTTAATATATAAATATTTCCCCTCAATTAATTTTAGTTCCAAATATAAACAATCTATAGCACATAATTTTTTTTTTCATTTTGACCCCTTGTATTTATCAGCTTAAATTTTTGTGTAAATGCAGTATTTTTCACTCATCATCAAATGTATTAATAATTAGGATTAGGAATAAAAAAAATAATATATATTTTTATAAAAATAAGGATTTTATTGATATGCACTACCATACAAATTTTTTTAAACATTGTTTATATTTTGGAATGGAAAAAGTGTTATTTATTAAAATATTTTTTTATTAATTTACTTAATTTTTATAAGAAAAAATTCGTACTCTTCCTCAACACCGTATATATTTCTAGCCGAAGTGCTCTTAATTAATAAGAAGAACAAAAATGAGCCGATTATTACATGACTGGTTGATTTGGCTTGGAATAAAAAAAAAAATTGCACATATAACTCATTTAACAGTATCAAATAAAGATAACAACCCAACATTTTAAATATTTTACAATATAATAATATTAATATTTAAGTTAAATTAAAATGATAAAAATGTCCCTTCTCAAATATAAAATTTCATTTTTATTCTCAAATTTAAAATATATTACACTCACTAAGTTTATTGTAGAGTAATTAAAAATATTTAAATGTTGGAGTGATATACGGTTGTATATGGACGCTGGTTATAATCGTTTAGTTAAGGGAATTTTTCTATTCTATTACACAAATTTTTTTAATTTGTTTTGGAGAAAAAATAAAAAAAAATTATACTACCACAAATGAGTAATATTTTAAAATTTTCAAAAACTCTTTTCACAATTTCTCGTTATGTTAACTGTCATTGGGCTAATTGAATCAACAAACAAAAAAACACCGCACGGGGCAGCGAGAGTGAGAGTGAGAAGCCACAGAGGGGCTTTCTTATATTGTCTCTGTATGAAGATTCCTCTCCCAAGCTGCTGTGGCCTGCCATGCCTTCCTCCCCACACCCTTGCTTGTCCTCTTCTCCTTCCTCTGCCTTCTATCTCCCTCTTCCAGCGCCGCCTCCTCCACCCTCAACTTGCTCCTCCCTTCCGACGCCGTTTCCCTCCTCTCCTTCAAATCCAAAGCCGACCGGGACAACAAGCTCCTCTACGCCCTCAACGAGCGCTACGACTACTGTCAGTGGCAGGGCGTCAAGTGTGCCCATGGCAGAGTCGTTCGCTTCGTCCTCCAGAACTTCGGCCTCCGTGGCTTCTTCCCTCCTGACACCTTGTCTCGTCTCGACCAGCTCCGTGTCCTCAGTCTCCGCAACAACTCCCTCTCTGGTCCTCTCCCCGACCTCTCCTCTCTCCTCAATCTCAAATCCCTCTTCCTCGACCATAACTCTTTCTCTGGTTCTTTCCCTCCTTCCCTTCTCTTCCTCCACCGCCTCCTCACTCTCTCCCTCTCCCACAACAACCTCTCCGGCTCCATCCCCCCTGGTTTGACTCTCCTCGACCGCTTAGTTTCTCTTCGCCTCGATTCCAACTTCTTCAACGGAACCCTTCCCCCCTTCAACCAGTCCTCGCTCCGTATCTTCAATGTATCCGCCAACAATTTCACTGGGCCTGTTCCCATGACTCCCACCCTCCTTCGATTTGGCCCGGCCTCGTTTTCCGGGAACCCGGGTCTCTGCGGGGAGATCGTTCACAACCCATGCAATTCTCGCTCCCCGTTCTTCGGTCCCCCCAATGCCTCCACCTCCGCGTCGCCGCTCGGGCAAAGCGCGGAATCGCAGGGAATCGTGGTCGTTCCTTCGCAGTCATCTACTAGAAAGAAGCATAAGGACACTGCGTTGATTCTGGGATTTACCATTGCCTTCTCGGTCCTCATTGCGTCCATCCTGTTCGCAATTGCATTGTTTAGGAAAAGGAGCAGTTCCAGAAGACCAGACAGCCCAGAAAGTCAAGAGTCTTTGGAAACCAAAGATGTACGTGCTCCTCCTCCCGCATCTTTAGTTGTCGAAACAGAAATAGAGCAAAATAGGGAAGGGAGTGAGAAGGCTAATAAAATAGAGAAGATAAAAGAAGCACATAAGAGTGGGAATTTGGTGTTCTGCTGTGGGGAGCCGCAGCTGTGTACAATTGACCAGTTGATGAGAGCTTCGGCGGAGTTGCTCGGTAGGGGTAATGTGGGAACAACGTACAAGGCGGTGTTGGATGGTCAGCTCATAATGACCGTAAAGAGGCTGGATGCTGTTAAAACAGCAATAACGAGCAGTCAAGACTTCGAGCATCACATGGAAATGGTGGGCGAGCTTCGGCATCCGAATTTGGTGCCCGTTAGAGCTTATTTCCAGGCAAAGGGCGAGAGGCTGGTCATCTATGATTATCAACCTAATGGCAGCCTCTTTAACCTCATACACGGTAAGTCCAATCTACACCAATGATGCTCTTTGTTTCCCGGTGAGCTAACTCACTGATCCTGTACTAATAGTAGCTTAATTAGCTAATGGCTGGTGTTAAGAGTTAGTGGTGCAATTCGTGGGGCCTAGTTGTGGAATTAGAAATCCAGTATTGACGTGTTTTGGTGCTTTCGGTGAATGGTGGCGTGCAATGTGCAAATTGGATCCCGTAGATGCAGTGGTCGAGGATGTGGAAAGTGGAATCCGATCTATGATTCACACACCTTTTCCGGGTGCCGATCTGGAGAGAATATATATTTCCCCCTTTTCTTTTTTCGTTTGGCTGCCCTTCGGGCTAGGGCATTTGCGTCATTTCTCCTTGTACGCATCGATCTTCTCCATTGCCGACAATCACGGGATTGGACTATTTAATGTGTGTGTGTTTTTTTTTTGGGGTATAAGGGTTGAATTATTTAAAATGTTCTTCTAAATACGAGGTTGTTGTATTCAATTGGGATTTGATTGCTTTGGTCAGAAAATTAACCGCGGGCCACTCGTTTGTCGTCTTCTTTTCACGAGTCTAAACATATATATATATATATATTTAACGGGAGTTTAAACATTTGAACTGCATAACGCAAATATACATAGTAGATGTATACCTTCTTGTGGGGGAATGGGAATCCAAAACTCTTGACATTATCTACGTTAAATTTCTTGGTTAAGATGGAAGTAAACCAATTAGTCGCATTTGATCTCTGATGATAATTTCCTGAATAGAATATTGCTATTTCTGCAGGTTCGAAATCAACGAGAGCGAAGCCTCTTCACTGGACGTCATGTTTAAAGATAGCTGAAGATGTAGCCCATGGTCTCGCCTACATACATCAAGCCTCGAGATTAATCCATGGCAATCTGAAGTCGACTAATGTCCTTCTTGGCGTGGACTTTGAAGCTTGTGTCACAGACTATGGTTTGGCCCTCCTTGCGGATTTTTCATCGACTGAAGACCCTGACTCTGCAGCTTATAAAGCACAGAGACTCGCAACTCTAGCCACCGAGCCACTCCCAAGTCCGATGTATATGCCTTTGGGGTGCTTCTATTAGAGCTTCTTACGGGTAAACCCCCTTCTCAACATCCTTTCCTTGTGCCAGCGGATATGCAGCATTGGGTTAGAGCAATGAGGGATAACGATGGTGCCGAACATAATGGGCTTGGAATGCTCACAGAGGTCGCTAGCATCTGCAGTGGAACGTCGCCTGAGCAGAGGCCTGCAATGTGGCAAGTGTTGAAGATGATACAGGAGATAAAGGACCGTGTAACGATGGAGGATACAAACTGCTAGGTTTTCATAGTTTCTGTCAAGAACTCTAAAGACTGGATGTAGTCATGTTGAGGAGGTAAAAGCGAAAGACTGTAGACTCTGGTTGTCAGAAAAATGAAGGGCATTGCACGACAAGCTCAGAAGAGTATCTCTGCACGACAAGCTCAGAAGAGTATCTCTGCAATCCAAGTTTATTCGACCAATTTTGGAAGAATCTTCATGAATGCACAAAGTACACGCTAATATACAATATTCTTTTTTAGTCGCTGTTGAATACAGTGCGGGGTTGGTTGCTCAACGTATTCTACCAATTTTGTAAGAATATTTCATGAATACATACAAGTATACAACATTGATGATTTCTGATGCTTCAATCCTAGCAAGTATTATGGTAGATAGCAAGCAGTCAATGCATTAGGACTTGGGCCGCATGCTTCAATGCACGTATTATGATAAGGAGAATAACTGCACAGTTGGCCATTAAATCATTGACACGATGAAGATCACTGCAAAATACACAATCTAGTTTGGAGCAATTTGGAGAACTGTTACATATGTACACAACACATCCAAATACCTACGGTCCCCTGAAGGGGAACATGTTTTTCTTGCATGCTTGGACCACAGCACAACAATCGAACAGCAGGAGATCCAAAGAGGAGCTGCATCATCATCAATCGTAGCTTCCTCCGTACATGCAGCGTGGTGCACCATTCTTTCAACTTTCAAGTGTCAACCTTCTCAAAGTATTACTTTCCTCCTAAGGCTTTGTCCGATGCCACCAATGCCTTCATGTGTGATTACAACATGCACATTAATCCCTGGCAGGATTTTCTCCAACAAGCCAACCACGTCTTGGGAAAAGGACTTGAGACAAAGAGGAAGACAAGAAAACCCATTCCCAATATGCCCCATGCCTGCAAACGGAAAGCAAATTGTAAGAACCAATCCCATGCAAACTTACCAGTCTTAATTTCAGTGAAAGGGAGCAGCCACTAAAGAACTGCATGCTTTAGATTCATCATCGATCTTCTGAAGGATTCTCATCTCAGTTCAAGACATCTTATAGAGAAACATCATAGGATAGCGATGTGTGTTTTGACCACAAATAAAATGCAACTCAATGGAAAATTAAGGCTGTTCGATTTCTACTAGTTACGGTATCTAATTTGGTCAGATTATTTTGTATTGAGGGGTTTATCGCATTACTTTCTTTTGATTTAAAAACCCCCCGCCCAATACAACTTGTTTAGCAGAGCTGGGCTTTCTTAACTCTATTTCATCAAGTATTTTGTGGTCAAAAACATAATATGCTGTCATAATAAACAACAAATCAATGATGTAAAGATTACCTGCTACTAACTGGACTCTTGCCAAACCATGTGTTTTAATACATGGCAGTCAATATGGTGATAACGTCCAGAGAATTTTTTTTCTTGTTCTAAGACATCACATCAATTGAAGCAAGTGCTCGAGGCCTTGAACGCATGATTGTCTCATCACTGTGCTTGATCCATTCTGAGAGTTTCCAAGGTTTCTGCCATTTCCATTTGAACTGCAGCAACCATTGATGATGACTTCTCTTCCACCTCCATAGTTTTCCAGCTTGTCCTACAGCTGCTAGCTTCTTTGTTGATAACTGTCCGATGGGTATCATCTGAATATAAAACCATTACTACTTAACCGGAAAAACAAATACGATAGTCATGAAAAGAGAGAGAGAGAGAGAGAGAGGATGAAGGGGGATATTACCTTTCGAGTTTCATCTAGAAATGTAGCTGACTCCCTGACTGACCCATTAACAATTCCAGAGGTGAATTTGAGTTGCTTTGGTGCAGGAAGTGACATGGGAGACAATGGACCACTCATTTCATCAGCGAAGTGTTTCAATGATCGCGAATTTGCCTGTTGGTTCCAGTCAGAAACTCAACATGATGTAAATGGATGGAATAAATTGAAAAAGTTTCATACGTGATCAAGAAAATATTTCGAATCCCAGTTTAGAATCTAAATGGTGGACAAAAATGATTTGGTCTTCTGGATATCAAAACAAATAAAGGACGTGAAGTTCCAAACAGCAGTTTCAACAATATATTTCATTATCCAAATATGTTTCGGCCAAATAGAAGTTTGTCTTAAACTATAAATGCTAGTTTCTGAACCTCCAGCTCTGGTAACGGTTGTGTAAACCTTTTTGCTGCACAAACTCATGCTAACTGCTCATGGAATAACATTCAGAAGCACATTCCAGGTCTTGATGAGCATGGTGTGCTCATCATCAATCTGGACCGTTCCAGTTGATTTTAGACACTCTCGATTTAATTTATTTTTTTTTATTTTAAATAACTTTGTATTTAGCATATGCAGAACCTAAAATAAAGACAATTTTATAAATTTCACTTTTAAAAAATAAATTAAAAAAATTAATTTTGGTCTAGAGCATCCAATAAGGACCCAATGAAATTCTCACCGATGCAGATGTGCTCAATGCAATGGCAACAGTTTGTTCCCTCGTTTTTTGCTCCTTCACAAGTTCTTTTCGCTGTATTTCACTTTGCTGTAGTAGCATTACAAGCTCATTCAGTTGCTCCTTCATGTCCTTAAGTTCCGTATTCTTTTCCCACAATTGGCACCTGTGAAGGATTAAAAGCACTACTATTACTTGGAATAGGAAACAACTGAGTCTCTACAATTAAACACAATTGGCATTTCAAAAGCAAGAGAATATTTTAGTTTCGAAACCCCTATGTGGCAGGCAAGTCCATGACCAATTCATTCAACACACGTATCTCATGGACTGCAAAGATTTTCCTTAAAGGCTGGGCAAAGATTTACTATTTGATTGGGTTATTTGCTCAACCAGCATGAATGAAGCACCGGAGAAACTTGTTCAGATCATCATAAGATGTATGAGCACCTGGATTCCACTGCTGCATTAAACAAATACTGAAGCATGTTCTTTGCATCTCTGATTGACCGACATTGGTTCCAACGTCCACGATTGTTTAATGTCCGTTCCCTTTCTTCTGCATCACTAAGTTGTGAAGCCATGCTATTTAAAGCAACCGAAGACATGCCAAGCATGTTCTCAAGAGAAGCTATTCTCGCCATTCTTACATCTGGTGACATGGATAAGAGTCTAACAGGGGGGGTTTTCAAGGAAAAAGGGCAAGTTAAAGACTTGTTGAATTGCTCAAAATTACCAACAGAAAGACATCCACATAGACACAGGCATGGAAAAACATCTGCTGAACAGATTTGACACATGTACCTGGAATATCTGTTCTTTCCTTTAGGGGTACTTAGTCCATCTGGAAACTGATCTACTTGTTTCAGTAAAGCCAGCTCTTCTTCCAGTGCAGATTGTCTAAAATATCATTTTTCAATCATTAATGAGAAAGAATACATCCGTGAATGTAATAGCTTGCACCCCAGAAAAGGAGAATTGGAGAATGAAATAAGGATTAAACACATACACATGATTTTGCTTATCATATTCAGCACGAACTTCATGCACATTAACCATGACCTCAAGCTCATGATCAAGCCACCTCTGGAAAGTTTTTTCATTCATCTACATAAAAAACCAGGTCATAACTGGTCAATGCGAATTTATTTTTAGATCAAACATTGTAGTTTAAAACAAAAGGAAGCATGAGGATAACATGACTAAAGTTGTGTGGTTCCAAAGGTTGCTAATTTGACATAAAACAACAAGTTTTTTTGTTAGTTGTGTGGAATTTATAAGCTGGGACATCAATTGTTGGGTCATTATGCATACAAATTGATTAGTTATATATAAGCAAATTTCTGATAATTACCTGCCCAGGCAGTAGATGTCCATTTGAATTAACTGAAATATAGAGCAAATAATTAGTAAATAGAATATCTAGGTGAGCAAAATAATAGTAAACAATGCTACCTAAATTGTCGCGTGGAGAGGATTTGCGGGCTTCCAACAATTCTTTTAGTCTTTTTGTAGCCATTGCTGCTTCCTCTGTCTTCCTCTGAAGAACCTGCAAGTAAAGACTAATGAATGAGTGACAAGCTAACAGCAGGCAGCGTTTTCATGCAATCATTCTCATGGCCCCATCTAAACTCATCTATTCAGAATCTCAATTTCTTTTTTTGGAATACAATAAGGAGAGAATCTTCAATCTTCAGTTTATAATCCATACCATCATGTTCAGAGTAGTCCTTTTTTCCTCTTTTTTCTGAATAGTTGCACAGTTGCCTAAGTCATACATTTTAGCCCCCTTTACCCCTTAACATAAATTTGTTGCTCATGAAAGCAGAAAAAGAGGTGTATCCTGATGTGTGGTTATTATGCAAGAGAAATCCTTCTGGAAATTATAAAAGAAACAATGTGGAAGCTAACATCTAATTTATATTGTATACTCTTTAAGTAATCAAGGAATGTCAAGGAAGACAAAAAATGGTAGAGGCAGACACCATAAACAGCAAAATATCATATTTTCAACTTACCATTTTTTGGCGGTGGTTTAGAGCCTCAAGTTTATGTCTTTCATATTCACTCCTCCTACCCTCTTTTTTCAGCTGCAAAACCAAGATTTTAAATTACAGTTGTTCACATGGTATTAAGAAATGGACCGACCATTTCATTAAAAAAAAAAAAAGGAATGGACTAAACCAGTTGGTTGGACCAAAAAACCGGTGAACCAATTGTCAATCAGGTCCAGATACGCATTGAAAAAGGAAGACTAATAAGCAAAGGGCCAAGAAATATATATAACATAAACTGGAAAGTTTTAAAATAAGTACATGCATTATAAATATATTACATGTCATAATTATTTCACTTTTGTTTTGTAAATATAAACTATTGATAAAAAAAAATTTAAATTTTATTTTTTACTTCTTATCTTTACTTTTTTTTAATGACATTGTTTCTTGTAATTAAAATAGTTGTTAACATGATGTATATATTTAAAACTAAGATATTAATTTAATTAACATGATGTATATATTTAAAACTAAGATATTAATTTAATTATGACCAATTCAATGATGGTCTAACCACTAAATCGTGAATCAATGCTTTTCAATGAGCCAGTCTAGTTTTTAATACCTTAGTTGTATGAGAAAAGCAACCATTAACCCAAAATTTTAATTACTATGGTAGCATTATTAAACTCAAGCTATTGCTTCAATGACCGTATGTTGTTACTCATAGTTTCAAATAAATGCCTAGGGCTTTTAAAAAAAATATGCAGCCCTAGATTCCATGAATTAATGCGAAGAGAGCGTTGGAAAAAAAAAAATGGGCCTCACCACAAGGCCTTTGAAAGGCATATGCATTGACATATCAATGTCGAACCAATAGCATGAAGTTGTTAGTCAATCACCATTGGCAACGTAAAATTTCAAAGTAGAATATATGAAAATTCAAGCATAACATAATTATATGAGAAAACAAACAACCTGGAGTAACTCCTTCTCACGAGAGGCCTTCCACTGTCGAAATTGCTCAGCCTCTTGCTTCATTTTATGCTGCAACTGAACCTGCATTGTAAAAGAATGTGAACAAGATCCAAAATAAGAACTATAGTTAGTTAAGTGGGCAGGAAAACAACAAAAGAAAGGAGAGTAACCTTTTGAGCCTTAATATATTGTATTTCAGCTTGCAGCCTTTTTGCAGCTTCTTCACTTTTCTCCTTTTGCTTTAAAAGCCGAACCTGGTTTTCTTGTTTCTTCTTAAGATCTAAAATCTGCAGTTCAATATTTATAAACTCAATATATTGACCAAGAACAGTAACTTGTGACTTCAGATTGACATCAAGTAAAATCATCACTTGTGCTTCCAATGACTTCAATTTTTGGGCACGAACATCTTGATTTTTATGTGTTTGTCCATCTGAATTAGCAGAACGATTTTCTACCTCAGCTAACAAATGGTCCCTTTCTTTCTGCCCATTTCCAAACCAAAATCGGTAACTAGCGGAAGTATGGAAACATAAACTTTATGTCAGGTTCAAAAGATATTTTAAATTAAAGTATCTCCAGAAAAACCTGCACTCTTCTCTTCTCTTCCTCAAGTTCCATAATTTTTCTTCCAAAGTGCTGTGTGAGTGTTTCCACGTCAACTCCTCCAAAGAGTTTCATCTCAGACTGCAAAATATAAAAAGGATGGATTTAGATGTTCAGTTGGAGTTACAATTCCTACTCATTATTTGAATCATATCAGAAAACTGTACAGAAAAGAAGTCAATGGTGTCTGTCAACAGAAGTCACCAAAAGTTCAGAATGCATTAGCAGAAATAATATTGGGTAGTGTTGTAACCTTAGTGCACATGCGCGATTCATATCACAAGGGAATCAAGTAATTCAGATAGAGAAAAGTACATTAGCATTGATTCGAATAACCAACTAAATCACTTCAGTATCACTTAATTTTTTTTTCCCTTCTACAATTGTATTTTTCAAAGGATATGACCTTGCTAGTGCTTGATCTATTCTTCACAGAACCTTTTTAGAGAGCAAAACACGAACACACTGAAAAGCATATTAAATTAGCAATGATAAATGTTTTACACCACAGGTCCACATTTGTGCCATTGGAAGCGATGTTTTGCTGCATAAACTAAATCTGTTGAGAGCACTTGCACAAAACAGCCAAATCTTTTGTGGTGATAGGCTCCTTGGAAAAATATTAGAGGTGCCACAACTATGTAACATAAAATTCAATCCTTCTATAAACCATTCTTAATGATTAAATTAAATTTCAGCAGAGCTGAGGATGGCCTGCACTTTGTCCACCCTTCAACTCCAACGTCCGTTTGCATAAGCACATCAGAAAGAAATAAAAGAAAACCTGTTATTTGGCTTGCACCAAACAATTTAAGTGGTTTAAATGAATTGGTAACCCACAAACTCCAAAATGTTGGAACTCATAATCAGATGCATCATCAATTAAGTCTTGGGGCATTCATGATCACTAATCAGATTAGATGCATAAGTAAAAGTCTGATAGATGAAACCTCTTTCTGCTCCAAGCGCTTGTTTAACTCCATCATCTCTTTATCCATAGTATTTTGCAACAGTGTATGCTCCAACTCTTTTGTTGCTTCATCAGATTCTGTAGAATTTTCCCCTGCAAAAGAAGACACAATCGCCCAACATTGAAGACTGGAACAGCATTATAACAGCCATGCAACAAAACAAAACCAACAGACTGCAACATTATTCAACCACATGAATTTATCAAGGCCCAAACTAATCCAGATCAAGTGGGGTAGGACCCTTCTAGGCAGCAAGTTCTACCACCAAGTATTTCAATGCGGCTGCCTTTCCAAACCTTGGGCTCAAAATCTATGGTTAAATATATTGATTTGATATAAATGCACCTTTCACAAAGAATCTAGTGAAAGAAAAGAACTAAAACCCGTATATTCTTCCAAAGATATGGAGGAAACAAATCATCTGGTTCCTCTTCTGCACCACCTGTCCCCTTTTTTTCCTCTTTTATATAGTATAACCATCAACACCCTTATTTTTTTATTATTAAAAAGCACAAATAAATTAATATCCACCTGACATGCTTTCAGCCATTTGGTGGTCAGATGAATATAGGCTCTGAAGGCCACTCTCAAGTCCATCAATCACAGGACAAATATCCTCATCCTGAGAAAAGAAAAGGGAATACAAAAACCAATTCATTAGTTATTATACGCTTAAAGTGAAAATAACATGGGTTTAACCATAACCATAAATATTCAATGGTGACATGCAAAATTATTCAAGTATTGTAATTTGAATTGATCCATTATCAAAAGAAGAAAAGGAAACAAGCAGGCATTCAGAGCACTTCATATGTACGTACTCGTGTTTCAGTTGCACATCTGCTGCGATACTCATGAAGTTCCCGACAAAGGTCCTCATTTGTTGCCTCAAGCCAAGTAACCCTTTCCTTGAGAAGCTGTGCAACAATAACATTGAGCCAGATGCCAAAAGTTCCAACTCAATTTATCTAAAATTTCAGCAATGATATATACCCGCACTTCATCAGCAGGAGATCCACCACGAGCACAAAGTTCAGCCTGCAAGCACTTTAACTGCTGGCGAAGTTGCTGCATCTCATTGGATAGTAAATCTCTATTTACCTGCATCTCATTGCAAAATATCAGAATCGGGAAATTTGACCATATCAAGTTTCCACATGGCCAAAGGCAGAGAATGTGCTTGAAAATAAAAGGCCACAGAAACTTACAACAGGTTTGTTCTGAATATTGCGTGCACGATTTGCATATTTAAGAGTATTAAGACTTTCCTCAGCATTGATGTCAGCAGGACTGATACAAGCTGGAAAAAGTGTGCCATTTGTGAGGCAATACAGGTATAGTGATTAAGCTTTTATCCCAAAAAAAAAAAATTATAGTTATTGTGCGCACATTTTCTGCAATATGCTGCCTCAACTGAAACAAAATGCGCTAAACAAAGGAACATTCCATGAATTGTACAGCAGGGGCACATAAACATTTTAAACACCACAATTTGTACACAAGAATCAGATTTCAGAACTACCTATCATGACAGTTTTGCTGTTTCCACCAAGTGAATCCTGCGCCCAGGAAAAAAACGAGAAGACCAGCAGTTGCTCTAGATTAGAAGACACGGAGTGTGACATGATGAAACCAGCATAGAATTTACAGTCCACATCTTAAATATGAAAGCCAATATCCCTACCAACACCAATATTGACTTTTTCCCACATTACATGTCAGTTAGTTACCACCTATATCAAGACCTGATTTTTATTATTTAGTGCTATACAATGTGTTTGAGTTCTTTATTCAATAACTTGATATTTTTTAAAGCACAGCCACTTAATTGCTAATACAGGTAAGTTAGACTCTAGGGGAAATATTTTAATATGGAAAACCTCAAACAGCATGATGTTCATCTAACCTGCAAAAGTCGAGTGAGTTTGCTATCCCGGTAAGGGACATGCACACCCTCTTTTCGCTTTTTTTCATCTCCCAATGCACTAATGACATTACCAAGTGCAAGAAGACCTCTATTAATGTGGATACCTAACAACAAATAAATATAGGTAATGTCACTGACATCCATGTAATCGTTGTTGAATGTAATTAAATGTTGTGGCTCATAAATACTGAAAGAAATTTACAGGTCTGCAGGGTATATGACCCACCCTCTTTTAATCGAAGACCATCAGATCCTGTTCTTTTAGCTCGTTCAGATCCAGCTAGATCCACCAAATGGAGCTTTGCACAAAGATATTCTTCACCCATATCCTCATCTGAAGTGTCACTGCCAGGAGAATCTGCATGGAGTTTGTGCATCTGTTCCAATGTAATTGTGAAGATGGCATGTGACCGGCTGCTTCAAACAGAAGCAAAACCACAAGTCACTTGTATATTAAGATTCAATCTACGGTAATTCATTGAACAAGCTCTTTCCACAGTTCAAATTTGTTGCTTGATTCAATGATCCAATAGAAATGATAAAAGAAAATAAAACTTCAGGCTCTACTTAAACATAAAGAGTAATAATAACACAACAAAAAAATTCCATCTTCAATCAAAATCAGCACATAGAGAAAGCAATTTAAATCAGTGACAACTGACAGAGCGCCCTTGAAGTCAGGCAACAAAGGATGGGGGCTCATGAATTACCTGGACTGGTTGTTCATGTTTGTACTTCCTGTTGCCCTGCTCAATGAACCCTGCTCCAAGCAAGCAGCCATTTCCTGTAAAGTACTAACAGAAACTTCAGTTGAACCTGCCAGTGTTATCACTCCATTTGATGTTTCACGAATCTGTATTGATGACCTCCCAGGAACAGTTAGTTTTCCAGAATGACCATTAGAGGTTTCCGATTTTCCCATGGATGATGTATCCAACAAATCTCTCACCTCCTCCTTCAGAATCTTCAGAATAAAAAATACAAAAAAAATTAGTTGCACAAATATAAGAATTTATGGAAAAGAGCTTTTGCCATAGATGAGTTAATAGTTGGAAAATTTTCTCATTGGTTCCAGCCATGCTAATATAATGAACGTCAATTTCTAATATAGCACCTATAATGAATGTCAATTTCTGATGTAGCACCTAGAATCAAAAACAGCGACCTGCTCATGTTCTATGTATGTAGATCATAAGGTAATTTTAGTTATAGCAAGCCAGAAGCTTAAATAATAAATTAATATATCTTGAATATTTAGTGTGTGCGCGTGCGCGTGTATGGATGCACCTCAATGAATGAGACATGCAACTGATATTCTGTTTGATGCTTTAATGTCTCAATCTTGCTGAACAAGGCATCCATAACTTGAGGAATTATTCCAGCCCGGCAATTGTCACTATAGCCAGTTCCCATCGTGTAAGTTTTCCCAGATCCCGTCTGTGGCAAATACATAAAAAAATTAATGATTAATAAATAACACAATTTTATTCAACTTCGAGTAAAAGACATGCAAGATTGACATTACCTGACCATAAGCAAGAACAGTAGCATTGTATCCTTGAAACAAACCATCAACCAAAGGAAAAATGCATTCTTCAAACATAGCAGACGAAGGAGATCCACCATTTCCATAAACATGGTCGAATGTAAAGGAATGTGAACCTATTTGAACCTGGGTCAGTGCTAAACTGTAATCAGGTCCTCAAGAACTAAGACAATAAAAAGCATGCTGCAGACTATTAAGCTCACATTTCTATAACATCTTGAACACCCTTTCTAATTTCTAGCTGGGATACAATGAAAGCAAATATGGTGTCGATATGCCTTTAGGTTTTTGAAGATTAAGTCCATATTACTATGACAAAGATAAAAACAAGAGAGCGTCATATTTTCTTTTTTCCTAAGACTTTCTATGACTCTATAACAAGACTAGCTTATCCTAGCGGTTTTTGTTTGTAAGGGGATGTCTAGTCTTACCGGGGTGCTCTTGTAGCTAATTTCCAAAACCTTATCGTCTAAAAACCCAAAAATGTGCTGAAGGCTATGGGATTAATAAACATTGAAAATTTTCAACAAAATCCTTCAATTTGAAATTCAGTTAAAAATAATGCTATAGGTAGAACACGAGGCACTACGTGGGAGAAGACCACACAACAGATGAAAAAATATCTTAGTTTTGCGGACCTGAAGAACTTTTAAAAAATATAAATATTTGGTGAGGTAATTGATCATTCACCCAGTCATTCCTAAGCTTACAACTCAAAGGATTTGTTGCAACGCCAACACCGAGTTAAGGAGAAATATTTATCGTGAAGCATATTTAATCTGATAACACTCAAGCTGGATTTTTTTTTTTTTTCCTTTTTGGGTAAACACTTAGGCTGGAGCTCTGAAACTGGATGTTTAATCCTTTGGATGGAGTGTAGAGAAAATATAAAAATTAAGTAATCACAGAAGAGTTGCTTGCAAGTTACAAAGGACAAGTTAAGAAGACTCGGACAAAAAACAAACAGGCCTCTGTGCCTTCGGCCTCAATTTATTAGACACTGTTAGGAAAGCTCGTCTAATGGGACGTTAAATCAAAAACGAATCTCTTAAGTGATATAGCCAATCCCGTGAAAAAACGAGTAAGTTATTCATTAATCAGTCCACCGTGAGATGAGAAAATGTAGGTAAAATCTAGCTGTCAAGAAATTTATAGGAAAAATATACATATTCAAGAAGGCGCAAAAGGAAGCAGCTCAAGGTCCAAGAATCCCAGTTCTTGAAGATGGGGAAGAGCTGAATACCTGGGGCTTTCCATGAATAACGCTAACACACTCTCTACAGCCTTGATGGCGTTCATCGGCAATGAGAGGACGAATGTGCAGAGCAACCTTCACAGAACAATTCTCGGATGTTTCCATCAGTCAGACTTTAAAGGCCAAGGAAAAAAGGAGGAGAAAAGAGATGAGGAGAAATGGACGTATTAGAATTTAGAAACTTGATAGAAGCACTAAATTAAGAATCAGGAGAAATTAACTGAAGCGCCTGATAAGTTAGGATTAGAGTTAAGAATCAATACAGGAGCAGAAGAAGAAGCGAGAAGGAAGGTGGATTTAACAGCAAGAGAGAGACAGAGACAGAGAGAGGTGGTTGTTGCAAGATAAAAGGGGAAAAAGAAAGCGCGGCTTATGAGGAATTTGTAGGCGGGAAGTCCAGAAAAGAAGAGGTAACTGCACTCTGCAGGGATGTTAACATAAACCACAACAACCGCCAGCAACAACACCAGCACCAGCACCACTGTCACTTTCCTTGTTCTCCACTTCTTCTATAACTCTCATGCCCAAGCCTTTGGCGATGCTCTCTACTCTACACAAATAGCCTCATTTCCTGTCGCTCATTTTCCTGCCTTGCCCCTGCCAACCATAGCTCTATCTTTACTTTCACAAAATCTCTCCCTCACTTCCTCTTTTATTTCTTTTTGTATTTTGTTTTTTGTGCCTTTTTTTTGCTCTGATTCCTCGTCGCAAGTTTCAGCGTCCAACTGTCCTCCTGCTTATCAGTCCCCTTTGTTACCTTTTGTATTATTTTTTCTTTTCTTTTTTGTCTTTTAGTAACCAAGAAAAGCCTCGAAATCCAGAAAGACAAAATAACTAGTATATATATATATATATATATATCGGCAGTATCCGTCCCAATCTGAGGACTAGAACACGGATTGCCATTTTTCTTTTTCTTTGGCCAAACCTATATTTTGAAAAAAAAGAAATATGATATTTTTATAGAGCGTGGGTTTGTGGTTTTTCTGGGCGTAACGTGTATTAAATGTTTATATACAAACCTTATCGTTGATTGATGGTTTATATTATACCCCATTTATCTTGTTCTGCGAAAATCGATCATATATATTTATCATGTAAATTAATATTCCTCTGATTCTAAACGTTGCAACTAGATAATTAATTCAGATTAGAAAATTAATTAAGTTTATTAAATATAAAAAATATGGGCTGATTTTTCTAAAATAATCCTCCCTTAAAAAAACAAAAAGGCCACATACCTGTGGTTACGTTTCTTGAATAGTACACGGGTTAAACCATAATATATCCAAATCACTGGATAATTAAAGAAACTTGAATATATAATTTTCTTTAGCCGGCAAAAATATCTAGTGTAGCATCTTTTGAAGTCTTATTCTTAATTTGCTCCCAAGTAAGATATCCAATGCTCAACTTCGATGGACCTTTGTTCTCAGGAAACTCTGCACTCACGAAATTAAAAAAAAAAAATGTTCGTAAAGTTTTTGCAAAAGGTGCCAGACGTCAGTTTATCGTATCGCTAACATCCTTTTTTCCCCCTGGCCCGAGTTATCAGTGACACCTTCATAAGCTAAAAAATATAGGGACAATTACATTAAAATTATATATAAAAAAAATAATTATTATAAAATTCATTAATAAATATTGTCAATGTAATTTAATTTAATTATTAAAAAAATTTATAATAATTAATTTCTTTATATGAAACCTAGTCGTAATTCCCTTCAAAATAAATCAATCATCCAGATCATCGGTACGTAGAAAAACGGGAAGAAATAAACACAGTACACTGGATGTTTTACATGGAAAATTGGGATTAAGGATCTATTGAAAAAAAATATTTGGGAAAAAATCTGCAAACGATCTTCCATGTTCTGCATTTTTTCTTCCGCGGCTCTGCACATTTTCTGTCATTAATCCTAATTTTCCTTGTTTTATATAAAAAGTTTTAAAGTAAAGCAGGAAGGAGAAATATACGAATCCATCAATAAAACCTTAAACTTCACGGTACCTTCATGAGATACGAGAAAGAGAAAATGGCTGGAGACGATTTATATATGACGGCATGTGTTTGACAGTAAGAAATGGAGAGGGAATGTCTTGCGCAGGATTTTTTTTTGCCTAAAATGCAATATGTCTCTGTTTTCGTTAGAATATTTGGCAGAAAACAGTTTGGGGCAAATTGAGACAGTGAGGAGGAGGGAAAGCCGAAAGCGACAGGCATTAGCCAGAGCCATCTTCGCTATGAAACGTAGGAAAAGGGCAATGATGCTGCAGCTCGGAGCTTTGGTGTTGGGCCCTCGCTCACGTGTCTCGTGTTGTTTGGGTATAAAATATGGGGTCTCACCCTGAATTATTATTTTTTTTATCTTATATAGTTATTTGATCGTACTTTGACTCAGCATTGTTGTGTTGAATTAAAGTAATCCTTTATATTTTTTATATCATACGCTACAAATTCATTATTTGATATTATTATTTAGTATTAAACATTTATATTTATTTTATTATTTTAAAAATTTTAATTTATTATATTATACTTCCTCTACTCCAAGTTATTAGTGAATTTTGGAGGAATTATGTTATCTCAAAATATAAAATGATTTGAGAAAAATAGAATTTCATTAATAATATTTTTTTAATATTATCATTCAAGTGAAGAGAGAATTGAAATAACATTATAACATTTTTTTTATTTTTATATATAAGAGAAACTAATACTTGTTGTTTTGTTTTTTATATAAACAAAATTGCATATTTCAACAAGTACTCCCTCCGGTCTTATTTATAAGTCATTTCTACCAACCTCATCAATACCAATAAAATAAAAGTACAAAGAATAAAAGTAAGTAAAATTTCAAACATGTCCCTATATAACAAATTTAAAAAGTAATATCCTGTTACTTTTTCTCTCATGAAGGGTAATTTTGAAAATACTCTCAAATATTACCTAAAAAGACGCACCGTGACTTATAAATGAGACCAAATACACCTTCTAAAATTGGACTTATAAATGGGACCGGAAGTATTTATTAATTTCTTAATTAATGCTCACAAACTCATAATTTTTTACAAGAAACAATTAATACAATCTTATTTTGATTAAATACAATAGTATTTTAATTCAACATTTTTATTTTCAAAAAAAATTATTATAATTAATCGACTTACTTAAATTGTTTAATACTCCATCTGTCCTTAATTATAAAATATTTTTAGATAAAATAACACGTATTAGGAAAGCTCATTAAATACACTTTATAACTTTATTTTTTTCAAAAAAATATAATCTTTCAAAAAATGCCATTCATTTAATATTCCAATTGTGAAAGAATATTAAAGAGGGAGAATATATAGAAAGGATAATATTGAAAAAGTATCACCAACGAAATCCTCTTTTTTGTCAAAGTATCTTATATTTTGGAATGATAAATTTTTTCAAAAAGTTTCTTATAATTTATGACAAAGGTAATACAATAATTTTCTCTTATATGTAAAAATGGAAAGAGTGAAGGTTAGATGTGTAGAGACATTTTTTTAAAGTTTGTAATTTTGTTTTAAAAAAATAAAATTGTAAGGTATTATTATTGTTATATTTTATTAACATGCGTGACGTTGTCTCAAATAGTCTTATAATTTGGAACACAAAAAGTAATTCCATTTTGTTCAATATTTTAGATGATGATGGTTGTTTAAGCATGCAAGTTTATTGTTGGAAAATTTTCACCACAACTCCCTTAACCAAACTTATTGACAGGCTAAAGTTATGAAACATCAATTTAGTCTCTATAGCTTGTACTTAGACTAAATTTAAATTAAATTTTTGAGAGAAATGACACAAACAATTCCAATCAATTCAAATAAAAATAACCAATATGGAAAGAGATGAATAATTGATGTAAGAAAATTGTAACTTTCATTGCCAGCATAACACCGCTATGAATCTAAATAAGTGAAATTAGATATTTAAATAACTCATAGAAAATAAATAAGTGTTATATAAAAAAATAAACAATTGATACAAAGAATTGGGTTTATTTGTGTTATTTTCTTCAAAAACTTAAGTGCGATACCCCTAAAAGGATATTTCAAAATTCTAAGACGTTGACCGTATATAATTTTGATCAAAGGAGCTACAGTGAAGTTCTCCGTTCATTGTTTTCACGAGTGGACCTTTTGGTAACCGGAACTGGCAGCCTTCAAAAAGGGCATTTGCGCGGGCATAAATAAGGCCAAGCATTCGATGGTGTATATAAATTTTATAGAAAATTCCGAGCTTATTATTATTATTATTTGGGGCTTGCAAGCCTCTAGACTTCTTGTTGGATTCGGTGCCAGAGCATCTGTGAGAATGCAGGGAAGAAAACATGGCGCTGAGCTTGGCCTTTTGGGAACAAGGACACTGTCAGACTTCCATTGCATGCACTGGGATTGCTCGCCACTGTTTTCTGTTTCTCAGTGCCACGTGAGAATTTTTCTGAACGAAAAATGGGGGGAAAAAACAACGGCTTGTGTGCCAAGACACACAGTCACACATAGCATAAATTGCTTGGGTCATAATCATGTGAAATGTAAGGGAAGTAATGAGTTGATTTTGATGCAAGTTTTTGGCTTTTATAATGGCCCTGGTCTTGAGGGGCGGGGCGAAGCAAGTGTAACAAATATTCCTACTTTAATTTTAATTTCCCTTTCTTCACCTAACTCAATTTGTATCATTGGATTCTTCTCGAGTCCAGTCCCGGGTTGCACAAGGGCCAAGCAACCCCGTCTGGACCCCACCCCATAGATTAGCCCGGCCGTGTTTGGTTTCTTCTTAGGATGCCCTGGCTTTTACCTCTGGCAATTTTTTTTTTCTTGGCCACCTCTAAATTATCTTATTTATTATAACTTCTAGAATGTGAACATAGAAGTAGGCCGACATACAATAGAAAACCTTAACTCCCAAAAGGCGGATAAATCATATATGAGATTAGACTTGGGACCGATATTAAATTAACCGCTTTCTGAATGTGCCCCCACCATTGTTTGGTCCTCTTTGAGTGAGAGCTAGTACGTCATTTTCATTCACACCCATGGGAAACTACATCCTTCATGCCATGTGATGTCGCGCCATTCCTTTTCGGTTCCATGTCACTTCCTTTATCTATTTCCCACACCAAATCCTCTTTACTTTTTCAACGAGTCTTTGATTTCAAAAACGATTAAAAGGGTAAAAACAGACAAATTATATTCAAACCGGCCCATTCCAGAACGGTACGTTAAAAGAGGGAGAGTACAGGTGCATAAGCTCTACGCCTTATGTAAGTCTTCTAAGCTCTATCAGTTGAACGAATTACGTTGGCTCAAACTAGAATGGAAATCGTAATTAAACAGGAATAAAGGTGGTGACTTTTGGAATGTAGAAAACTTAATGTACGTGTAACACAGTGCAGCTTCAAATTAAAATCCATTTGACCCAAGTAGGCCAACAGTAAGACTACGCTCCGTTCATTCCTAACTATAAAAATTAGCTGAGGTAGAGACAGATCAAAAGGATCAAGAAGGAAGAAGGTGTCTAAGTTGAGTTACGGCCGGCACCTTAACAAGCACAAATGAAGTTCAGGTTCATCGTTAAGTTGTTGGATTGTTTTATTGATGATATAAAATGTCGAAC